CCTCGGTGTCGAGTCACTAAGTTGGAGCTCAGAGGAAAGGCAAAGTTGCCACAGGCCCTCAGTTTTCCCAAAAGCCAAATATGTGGGCTAAGAATCTGTCAGCTCAGTGCTTCAGCAACTGGCACCGCAGTAGGATCAGAGGCTAAGAAAAGTGGTAGACCCCAAGGGGTGGAAACCCCTGGAAGTTTTGAAGTTCTGTCCAATGGGCGCTCCTGCAGAAATGTAAACATACCACAACCAGATCCGAAGAGATGAGTTGTAGTTTGGTTGTTAGAAGAAGTAGCCATGTTGTAGGAGCCACAAGGAAAGGGGCCCAGAGCCCCTCGGGGCCTCTGGGGCCCCCCAGCCCCAGTTGGGGGCTACAGAGACTTGGAACAGTGTTAAGCTGGACTATGTGTCTGTAGTTAAGCTGGGAGATGTTTTCCATCGTGAGTGAGCAGAGACAGAGCAGAAGCGGCGGCAGCGTCCAGAGGTTATGGCTAAAAGCCAGCTGATAAGACCTGAACCAGAGAAGCAGCAGAAGCTAGCAGCAGAGTTACAGAGTACTGGGGGTAAGAACTGATACCAGACCCCCCAAACTCCTTTGAGACCTCCTGGAGAGGAGGAAGATGATGGACTCTTACTTGAAAGAGCCTTGAAGTGCAACATGCACTGCAGAGAAGAGCTGAGAAGCTCAGAGCATCCTGGGAAGCTGGACCGGGACGGAGAGGAATGTAGAGGGGGTGACCTTGGCTCCCCCCTCGCACTGCTGCCAAGGTGGCAGCCTGAGGCAGGGCACAGAGGCCCTGCAAGGAGCTTGAATCTCCTGGAGATATCAGACTGTCACGAAGACCCCCTGCGTCTTCGTGATATGACGTGGTGGAACGGCCTTGTCTGGGGTTACGAAGCCCACGGAAGACCCCTCGGTTGGTTGGCGACGGGGTCGAGGGAGCTTGGATACCTCCCTCCTGAGTGCTGGCAGAGATCCAGCAACAGCTGCATGCATGAGAGAGAGAGATAGACTGCTTCTGCTACTCTGAAGAAGCTGCTGCCCTGAGAGACTGGAAGGGATCTGTCCTTCTTTCCCTCCTGGACTTTTATTTGGAGGGGAGAAGAGATCTGATCCATTGTAAATACTCTATGTCATGGTAGAGATAGTTGTGATCGTGTGTTATAGTATTTATTTGTACAGTCATTGTAATATATTCCCTTTTCCCCCACTTTGAGTCTCGTTGTGTTTTGTCTGGAAAAACCCATCTCACATTGGGTTGAGATGTGGGAGGGGGAATGGAGCTAGGGAATTGGATTTTGGGGCTATCTCAAACCATGACAATCCACATCATGGTAAGGTCAGTTAAATTGCTCACACTTTATTTCAAAAGCTCTCAACCCTTGCGTCCAGACATGACAGACTGAAGAATAATGATCACTCAAAACCAGAGGAAGTAAAGCAGCTGCCGCCATCTGAAAAACAAATGCTGTGAGGACAAAGCAGCTCACTCGTGCCAGCCATGCAGCCAGAACAATTTTTCCTGCTATTGAGAAATTTGTAAGGGAGATGTTAAGCTCACCATAACAGCACTAAGATCTTCTTCTCTTTCCCAAGTTACATCTTTATTTAAGCACAGACCATTCCGGCCACAGAGCGACGGAAACATTTTTGTTTCGTTTTCGCTAATGCAGAATGAGCAGCTAAAACACAGACAATACTAATGAACATATTCTGTTCTTGTAAATCAAGGGTTCCCCTGAGCGAGCAGTGTGTGTTCAGATCTGGGCACCCAATCCAAGAAAGATATTGTCAAAATACATGTGGGATTTTGAAACAGATGCTAATTAGAAAATGGAAAACACAATAAAAAGAAAAGATGGAAGAGACTGGGATGGTGCCTTCAGGGTGAAAAAACTTAAGTAGGTGTTTGTGTTTTCGAACCACCTTTCTAGCCAGTGACAAAAAAAAAAAAAGGAATGTGATGACAAATGCAGACTCTTTCCCTCTCAGCAAAAGAAAATATCCAAATTTTAAAGTTTGGAAAGAAAACTCTTGTGGCATATCATCAAACTGCAAGTGCTATAAGGTAACAGTGATGCCAAAATTTAAGTAAATCAAAAAATACAATTTTTTGCTTTTAACTGCCACTGTGAATTCATGTCCAGACAGAGACATACAGTGAAACTTTGCAAGACTAAAAGGCTTCCCACGTCTGCATATAAAAGAGCCTGTAATTACTAAGGGCTGGGAAGAAGCTCTCTGTGTATGAAACAACTCCACAACTTCCTTCTACAGGTATTCCTGTGTCACCTTCTGACACTGGACAGGAGCTGAAAAAAAACCTACAGATGAGAGAATGTATCCACAATAAATAATATTATTTTGTAACTATTTTGCAAGAAGTTTATAGAACTGTGAAGAAAAGCCTTAACAGAATAAAAGACACTTCACTAGTTATTATAATTTTTCTCCCTTTGGGGAGGTACATAAAGAACATTTAAAAAGCTAGCTTGATATAAAATCATGAAAGATTGTTCTTTCCTCATGAAAAGCAATTTATTTTGATGTCTCACAAACTCTTTATTCTGTGAGTATTTAATACATATATGGAACAATTATAGTTTAACCATTTGCTAATGGTTATATGAAAAGATCATCATATCTTACATTACCATGATCCCTTAAAGCAAACTGCAGCAGCTTTACCTGCAGCAAGACTTTCATTAAATCATTCATCTGCATTGCCTTGCCTTGCAATTATGAATCCCACTTTGTTTTTTTCATGGACTCTTAAATCAGTCAAATATCCCAAAATTAAAATATCTAGCAATTCCCTCTACATTTATTTTATAACTGGGCCAAAAGTTATAAAACTTTTGCGGCACAGTTGGCTTTGAATTAGCAAAGCCACACTGAGCTCCAGCCAGTGAGGAAACAGGAGCTCCCCTTCAGCACAAGGCTACCTGTGAAAGGAAAAACAATTAATGGATGGGATCGGTAGTGCCAGTGGCTCATTTATAAAGCCACCTTACAAAGCAGACAGAAATGACGTAAATCTGCTTCATGGCGTGTTTTCCTAACAGTTCATAAGAGAAGTAAGATAGCACCTGAACTAAAATGTTGTGGAAACAAGGTGCTTCTCAGGTAACGTTTCTGACTTTACCTATACACACAGGGATCCATCTGCTGAGTAAATGCATGGCAGCCAGCACTGATTGCTCAGCCAGTTAAATGGTTTTTCCTCCCTTCCTGCAGTTCAGAAAACTGAGGCTGATACTGTTTGCTGTTGCCAGTTCAAGCCTAGAGGGGCACAGTAACAACAGGCCCAGGGCAAAAGTAGCTACCCCTGAGCTCTTTGATTTTACAGCAGCCATCACCCAGGGTTTATACACCGGAGCAAAGTTTGATGTAGTTACAGATTGAAGGAAACTACAGCAAAATCCTTTCATTCTAGAAATGTTTTTAATTTCACTTGCATATTTTAAAAGAAATACAATATGCTAGCAGCAAAAAATAAAAAGGAAGATTTCTGTTCTAACATTTCACAATACGTTAGTGTCCAAATCTGCATTTTTCTATTAAGGCAATCTGCATTAATTACATATCAACTGTGAATACTAGGACAGCATTTCAAAATATATACAAACTTCTATAAAATGTTAGTTTTATTAGCATAGGAAAAAAAAAAATCACAATACTAGTAAAAATGTAAACATTTGAAGCTAATGCCTTTAAAATCAAAAAAGGTACCGTCTACCATTCCAAGACCAAGTAAACAGCTGAAAACATTAGCTAAATATAAGAAGTTACCACATTAAGGCTTTGTTCAGTCAATATTTCAAAAGTTGTTCATGTTCCGTGAAATTTATATTCAAGTTTGGACTAGCAATTACTTTCAAGTTGTATTTCCTAAAAAAGCAGTTCAGGCTGACTGCTGTCTCTGCCCAACTTCAAGACAGTAATTCAACTACTTAATTTTGCTTTTAAGCAGCATTAACTTGTTCCACCAGTGAACAAGCAGGTACAGTTTTCAGAGCAGGCCTGACATGTTCCTCAGAGAAGTACCTCTTCACGTGTAGTTCAGCAGATGCCACCAGTGTTTTCCCTGCGCTACACTGAGTCTCTTGAGCCATTCATTCCGGGCTCAGGGTCTCTGAACAAATACCATTTTTCCATGGAATTCCTTGTCAGGCAGTAGCACTCCAGCTCGCCTGCACAAATGTGGGGAATAGGATGCAAGGGCTGGGAGAAGCCACAGGCCTCTTGCTGTCCTCCAAGCCTCATCCCAGCAGGAGGCTGGCTAATGTCTCCTGCGCCTTTGTGAAGTATTTCCTATTTCATCATCATTTACATGCGTTATCAAGTGACTTTTGGGTTTTGATCCCTGATATTTTGAGTCATGCAATCAAAGCACCCTCATGATTGAGTGCAGCTGATAAGATGGTGTAATGGTTACATTCTCTTTCACTGCCCAGAAGTACCATTTCCCCTATGGAACAAGCACCTTCTGCTGTGGCAATGGATTTGCCATATGCAGGATGGAAGAAGTCCTGTCAGAGATGGATTAGTGAAGAAAATGAGAGCAGTTCAAATGTTACAGAAACCGAAGGTTTTAAGGTGGTTTAAACAGGTTTTAAAATGGCTTTTACCTTTTTGCAGAGTCACTGATCTTCTTCCCAACACCCCCTGTGCTCCCACACAAGGTGTCCTGGGAAGGTGTCCTGAGATGTTTCCCATTGGCCTTTGTTAACCCCTTTCTATTGGCTGTTGACCCTTCACCTGATGGTTTTTTCTATGTGACCCTGAACTTGTGATTGGTCCCCTTTTGACCCTCCTGAAAGCCTTATAAACCCCTACCCCACAATAAACTTCCTCTTTCGTCCGTCCCTCCCCGGTGGTCTGTGTGCTCCTTGCGGGGTCGCAGGGCCACGTGCTGGGGCGGGGGGAAGGGCATTCACCTCGCAGGTAATGGGCTAGCAGCCTAAAGCCTGGAGGTCTCCCCCATTCCCACTAATCCGTCGGATTCTGCCTCTTGACTCCCCTCACCTCCCCTTGGAAGGACAAAAGTCAAGAGTTCCCTAGCTCCATGTGCTGCCAATAGATGGGATTCAATGACCATCACCCTTCAAACCTCACAGCCTGGGACCTGAATCAGCCCCAAATCTAAAACACTACGGTGTTTTACTGGTCTTAATTCCTGTTTTGAATATTCATCCTCACTATGGTCAGGAAAACTTGTGGAAAATACCCAAAGGGATAGTTCTAATTTCTGAAGAAGTCTATGCAATGAAAAGAGACCAGTACCAGTAATAAAGTACTACAGTTTGAAACTATATGGAAAAGACAAAACCCATCAATTTTCCTCACAGATGTATCTTCTAATTATATTCCTAAAATTGTGCTCTGCTTTTATTACTAATATTTATGTTCTCTTGCATAGACAAAAGCTGAGTACAAATGTATTTCCTAAAACTGACTTTACTGTACAGCTAAGACCAGTGTTGGTTGGTAGCCTGCAGGTTTTATTAGTTAAACCACCTTGCTTAACAGAAAATGCAAAGGCAATAATGGCAATACAGAAGAGGGGGAAAAAAAGGAAGACTAAGTCAGCAACAATAAATACTAAAACCTGAAGTCAACTGTTGCTTCATAATAGGGATTTTATAGTTCTGAAGCAGGATGATTAGGGTAATTAATGGCCTAGTTTGTTTAGTGGTGATCACAGCAACATCATGAACTGGCCCACATGAGTCTAATTTAAGGATAGATATAAAATATAAATAAACACAGCTTCATGGAGAACTGGTCTTGAACAACAGGTTGCATTTCACTTTCTGATATAGTAACCTTGGCTTGCAAAGACACCTGCACTGAGGTGTTACCCACAAGAACCCTAAGTCACTTACTGAAAACCAGTGAACATGTAATTTCCCTAAAAATATCAGTACTAGATCAAATCAATATAGAATGTTATGCTGAAGACAGAAAACTAACTTCAAAATACAGTATTAATAGGAATTCAGCAACAAGTATAGCTGTTTTCCATCTTACTCAATTTTTAAAGGCTCTGGGATAAAAGCAACTCAGTGGCCTGTCTGCTTCCTTTTCCCCAACCCCCTACCCATGTCACTGATGTAATAAAAACTTACCACCTCTCTCTACAAACCTTGCCTTGCATTCAATTTTAAAAATCAATGATCTGGAAGAAACTGTAAAAATCACTTGCAATAAACTTGCAAAGGACATGCAGACTGCTGGAGTAGTAAAGAACGAGGACAGGTCACTTATACAGAGCAATCTGGATCACTTCATGAGCAGTATTTTAATGCTGGTAAAATACAGTGTGTATTTCTAAGAAAATATAAGGTAGGATAATAAGAGGATGATGTACCGCATTCTTAAGAAAGACTCCGAAGAAGCCTTGAGCCATAAAAGTCAGCATCCAAGGCAATGCTTCCACAAAAAAAAGCATAATGCAATTTTTGAAGAAAGAGGAGAGGGACATATTCATCAGAGTAAGAGGATCACGTTGTGTCTCTATACAGTCCTGATGGATCACTATTGACACGTGGCATCTCATTCAGATGTCAGCCCTAAAAATATTTCTATACGTGAGAAGTACAGAGAAGAACATGAAGATTAATTAGTCTTGGATAACATTCACTGCAACAAGAAAGTTAAGGAATTCAGTACATCTCATCAGAGAAAAGGTTAAAAGGGACATAATCATGATTTACAGCTACACACAAGCAATTAGAAAAGCTGATACTACAGAGATCAATATAAGCAATCAAATGCATAAAAAGACCAAAATAACTTAAGGTGGAGCTAGAAATGCAAATAGAAAATCAAGTGAAAAATGTACCTGGGGTAATTAACTATTGCAACAGGAGGCATAACTGAATTCTCATCACTTGAAGACTTCAAATTAATATTAAATGCCTTGCTAAAATATGTATGTTCAGTTCAAAACAAAGCCACCGAATTTAATAGAGAAACTGCTCGTTGAAATTCAATTGCCTGTTGAATTTAAAAATAAATCCTCATTATGGTGCCTTCTTGCCTTATATATTTATGAGATTTATTTTTAAATATAACCACTAAATGGAATGGGGTTACCAAGGAAAAGGTTTTTTTTTCTTTCAGAGCACAGCAACGTTTAAGACTAGATTTAAAGCTAAATAAGCTGCATTTTGGAAAATATCCTTCCCCCCCCATTTATTTTTCTTATTTCTTGTTCAGAGTTGTGCAGTCCACTTAGCTGACTGCCTGATTTACATAATCATGTAGTTATTCTTCAGTTTTTCTGTTCCTATTTATAAACCATTCGCAAACCATCCACTTAAGTAACAGCATGATTTACTGTAAGAATGATTATGGTTGTTTCGGAGGGAAAATGGAATGTGATTAAATGAAGAATGAACAAGTACATTCTAGAAACAAAGGGCTTTAATCCCGTGGAAGGATTTGTAAATGAAACCTGCCTCTCAAGCCCTATCCCAAATAGCCAATGAACTACTGGGGGAATTCAGCAGATACCTTTACAGCTGTGCAGCCAAGAGCTTAGCAGAAGACAAAAAAATAGATAAACCAAACCAACCAACCATGCCCACACTACCTTCTGGAGAAACGGTAAAGCTCCCAAAGCCATCCACACTTAGGAAAAAAAATAATAATTAATGAACTGTATGTATACAGCTGCTGATATGATCCTCTCAAGACAGGTCTGAGTACCAAGGCTCTAGAGAGAGAACTGCAGGCAGACCTTTGCTCTTGGATGAATTCCAGCATTTCAGATAGATGCATCAGCCAAGAAAAGGGTTGGGTACTTAAGCTGTGGATCCAGAAGAACACAGATTTTCTGTACGCAATAGATGTTTTGCAGGTGCCACAGGAACCCTGACAACCCACACATCTTACAAAAACTGTGAACAGTCTGAGGGAAGAATATCAAAGTTCAGTATTTTCACCTGAAGTATTTATTCCCCGCTATTGCAGAAAGAACAAGTGGTGAAAATCCCTGATTGTTTACCAGTAACATTGCCATGTTTACAAACCAGCTCCCTACCAGGAGCAGCTGAGGGGCTCCACAAAGGAGAAGCCGTGCTACAGAGCCACATTGATCAGGAAAAACAACCATGAGATGAAATCCTGAGTGCTCATACACAGCACTGCTTTTGAACAGTGTTAGTCCAAAATAAGCAGCAGTGATGGATGATATCCTTGCTCATAGACAGATAACTCTGGCCCATTCGGACAGCACATGAACCAGCAAGAACTTGGGAAATCCCACAATAATTGATAGAACTGCCTCAGAAATTCATACAGAGTGTTCAGAATGGCACAGTAACTTTTCATGGTAGATTACCATATAAGCAGTGGTTCCCAAACAATGAGGGAGAGATAAGGATATTTTAGGTTAAGCCAAGTGTGGAGCCCAAGAAAATTGGCTTTGCAAGATCTGTGCTGAATGTGTGTGAACTCCCAATTGAAGTAGTCTCAGGAGCTGTGGATGGGCTAAGATGTGGGACTGATAGAAGGCATCGGTAACACCTGGGCTGTGGGAACACTGAAGTTACCCTGAAAACTGCTGGTTTTTCAAGAGGAAAGTACCAAACCACTGTTTTCCTAAATAGCACCGTTATTCCAGATAGAGAGAACTTCCCCTGTTCTAGTGCAATTATTTAGATGTGAGTGCTAATGAGCGCAGCTGAGACTGCAGCTACCAGTAATGCCCTGGCAAACAGAAAAACACTGTAGCCTCAATACAAAAAAGCTATATGCTAAAATCTATTTTTACCAAGAGTATTAGTAGAAGGCTGAGAAACTTTAAATTCCAGGGACTCTGTAAGTTAATTATGTCATCTATAGCTGCAACCAAGACCTAGGGTCTAGCAGTTCTGTGATGCCTTTCTGTCTAGGGGTTGGTACTGGTTTGGTTTCAGACCTGCTCTTGTTAACCAGAGAAATGGGGTTCCCCTGACCAGCTAAACTGCTTTTTCTACAAGGACCGATTTTGCGAGGAGCAGCAACAGGTGTCTGCAGCTGCTGCATTTTTGTAGCCAACACTGACTCAAGGGAAGAACCACTGGCAGATGTGTGGTCAGGCTTCCCCCATTTTTCTTTGCACAGTTGCTCTGTGTTCACCTGTGCTTTTGCACTGTATGGTGACTTATGGGAGGGTGGAGGTGGAGCTCTTCTTTTCTTTCCTCTGCTGTCATTAGGACTTGTAGTACCTCCTTTTGGGTCCAGAGGCGTGTTCTTCTGAACAGTCATCTCATGAGATCCATCGAAGAGTGAAGCCCATAGGACAGATGCAGACTCTTTTTGCTGGCCAAGAAGGAACTCACCATCAGTCTCTTCAATTTTCCTTTGTATGATATCAGCTAAGCCCTCAAGTTTCACTGGAGAATCAATGCCTGTAATTTTAAGGGACAGCAATTAACTCAGATTAAAGCGCTACCAATGATTTTACTGCTACCTATTTTGTTATTAGTACTTAGAACACAAAACTGTATTAATTATGTCCATGAAGTCTGGACTATTTTTAGGAGTATTAATGGATGAAAAGGAAAAGACGACATACGCTTTCACAGAGAGAACTGAGGTGACAGGAGGGAACTGTTTCTGTGACAACTGGCATTTAGGCAACAGGGTGGGCACTGATATTTCTTTCCAAGTAAAGGAGAAAAAATAATGTACTGGGAAACCTGTACATATTAGATATTAAACACATTTTGTTGTATAGTACTTTGAAAATTTCGTTTCACAGGAGGCTCATGAAAAAGTTTATGACTAAATATTCTTGTGCTGCTAGCCTGCTGAAAATGGGACATCTTTACATATATCATTTTTCTCTATGTGGTTTAAGACTGCCTTGCTCCATTTCTTATTCCTCTTTCTGAGTTTTCTCTGTATACTGAAGTAATACCAACCTCAAACAGCAGTAGTACCACCTCTGTTGCAGGCCACACATTAATGATTTTCAACACATTTTTAACACAGGGTTTTACTTATAGAATCGCTTGGCTACAACCTGCTTTCATGTAGTGCTAGAGAGCAATAAGGTCTCTCCCGAGCCTCCTTTTCTCCAGGCTAAACACCCTCAGCTCCCTCAGCTGCTCCTCATCAGACTTGTGCTCCAGACCCTTCCCCAGCCCTGTTGCCCTTCTCTGCACATGCTCCAGCCCTGTTAAGTCTTTCTTGTAGTGAGGGGCCAAAACTGAACACAAGATTTGAGGCATGGCCTCACCAGTGCCAAGTACAGGGGACTACAAATACTATAAACAAGCAGGAAAAAAAATGGGGTATTAAGAGTGAAGCAGAGTTTGTGTTCTGCTCCTCACTGATGTACTGGTCTATCAGTGGAATTATGCTACCATGGTACCTTTGTAAAACGTCCATGTAGTTCATTTAATGCATTTCTGCCCTGCATTCATAGCTTAGATAAGACTCTTTTGACTGTTCAGTGCTCTAATGCACAGTAACTCAATGACCCACACAGCATTTTGAGCATCTTCACAGTTCCCATCCCAAGCAGGAAGCAGTCAGGCATTTACAGTTGTACAGGGTTTCTCAGTCAATACTACATTGGATCCATTAAAACAAAGTGACCTACTTTTTCTAGTCTGTAAATATTATTTCTGTAATGAAACTATTAAAATAATCCTGCTGCATACCATTTTGCTCTGCGAAAATACAAGTCTCGAATACACTCCAGCTAGGTTTTTCTAGCATATTTTTCAGTATCACTATCAAAGACCAAATAATTAGGTAAGTTATGCTGGGTAAGCCTTTAAATAGTTTTAATATCAGTAGATTAATTTCATGCAATTGGTTTGCAGGCTGGACTATTTTACCTTTACATTTCCTGAGCTTTGTACTACTCTTGCCATGAATGTTTATTTCTAGTGACAGCTTTTTTGAGTGTGTTCAGGGCTCTCTAGTTACAGTTCAGATTGCAGAATTTTTAGCTCAAGGTATAAAAATGTATTCATTATTTGTGCTATTACAAATTCAGATTTAATATGAACTCCTTGGTATGCAATTATGTGCTCTTTCATTGTCTGAATTGTCCTTGAAAAACTCAGTATTTCAACAGCAACACCAGAAGCCATTTGAACACAGACAATGTTGTTTCTGTTACCCTGCAACGTGAAAAGGCAAATCCCACTTACTCATATCAGAGTAGACGGAGGTCGCTTCCTTTGTCAAGAACAAAGGTGGTTTCTGTGGTGACATAATCTCAATTTTCATAAGTTTCTCACAACAATGTTTCCATTGGCCTGAGAGAGAAAAGAGAACAATGACTGGAACTTAAACACTTCAGCCTGTAAAAAAAATGGAAGTTATTAGATTGTGTTAGGAAACTATCTCCAAAGCAATACTAAACAGTGAGCACTTATTTCTGTTTAGCAGGAACGCTCAGGATGCATTTGTATTTTCACTTCTGTACTCATTCTCTTAGCACAAAGATCATGAGTTACTGTAACTTAAGCATCCCAGCACTATTGTTACACTACGAAGGGTAATGGTCATAATTTGCCTGTAAAACTCCAAACAAAGTATAAATCCATCAAAAAAAAAAAAAAAACCACCAAAAAAAATTTAAGTTTCAGGAAGCTTCATGAAGTTATGAGGGACAATATCAAATATCCTGCAAGCTGGATGTTGTACAGCTGTGTAACAACGTTATGGCAAAGGAACATTCTGTCTTTAATAGAGGATAACTTGCCTTTTATCCGTTAGCAGACAAGGAAACCTCTTTTTCTATTAATAGATTTTGACCTTAAGGAAAACAAGACATAGTAAAATTACTTTGTTCATACCAATCATTCCAAGTTTTCTGAGCACATTAATTTTAAGAGAATTTTAGAACCAGGGAAGAAAAAAGGCATTTAAATGCCAAGTGACCCATTTTTTCTGAATCTAAGGAAAATGTCTCAAAAAATCCATGGGTATTCTATCTATAATGAATAAGAAGTAGTTCTTTTAGCCCACTCTACAGATAATTTAAAGAGGATGCCCTAGTTTTTGCTTGGTGTGTTTTTTTAATTGATAGTTCCCTTTCTCATTGTAAATCAGAGCTAGAAATAACTAGAACTACAACTACAATACCGAGTTTCCACAATCTCAATTCACTTATTTTATCGGTGTTGTCTCAGACTAAAGACTGGTATTTCATTAATTGACATGGTTCTGTTTTCTGGCTTGATAAAAATGACTATCAGGAATCTACGCTACCTTGTCAATGGCAGCACAACAGCTGACAATCTCTATTTTCAATAACTCTATGGGTCAAACTACTAAAGCAGAGGAAAAAGACACAGGCAAATGAATCTGTGTAGTTTTTACAATGAATATTTGGTGTCAAACAAGCAACACACTATACTATTTTAATTAGGTTTCACTGTTTCACACCAATAAATCAGTTTCTTCTCTCATGTAAGATCAGTGTTGTTCCAGAGGTTTGCCAAAGCATCAGGGTAACAATTTAAAATCTGTTACAAAGGCTCAGGTACAGCTTTTGCCAGGTTCAAGTAAGCAGCCTGTATTTGCATGACTGGACTGGAGTGTGGTTGGTGAGCATATTCCTGTGTGACAAGGGGTACTGAAACCTTTGAATTACCAACAGAATCAAGTAATCCCTATTATAACAAATTGCAATTTAATTCATCCATAACACTGCTGAGCAAGGAAATCCCATGGACACATGCCTAGTTGAAAGAGCTGGCTGAATCCACAACCTAGATGATTCCAGCATCCTCACAACTTCCCACTAAGGCTTCCTGTCTTGGTTTGAGATAGCTCCGAAATCCAATTCCCTAGCTCCATTCCCCCTCCCACATCTCAACCCAATGTGAGATGGGTTTTTTTCCAGACAAAACACAACCAGACTCAGAATGGGGGAAAGGGAATATATTACAATGACTGTACAAATAAATACTATAACACATTATACACACGATCACAACTATCTCTACTATGACATATAGTATTTACAATGGATCAGATTTCTTCTCCCCTCCAAATAAAAGTCCAGGAGGGAAAGAAGGACAGATCCCTTCCAGTCCCAAAGCAGGAGTCTCTTCTAAGGCAGCAGGTCTCCTCATCTCATGCATGCATGCATATTTCACTCATGAGGGAAATATCTAAGTTCCTCTCGGCCCCTTGACGCAGGCAAAGGGGTCTTCCGTGGGCTGCGTTCACCCCAGACAAAGGTCGCTGTCACCATGGTCATATCACGAGCACAGGGGGCTTCGTGACGGTCTGGTATCTCCAGGAGATTCAAGCTCCTTGCAGGGCCTCTGTGCCCTGCCTCAGGCTGCCACCTTGGCAGCAGTGCGAGGGGGGAGCCAAGGTCACCCTCTCTACACTCCTCTCCATCCCAGTTTAGCTTCCCAGGACGCTCAGAGTTTCTCAGCTCTTCTCTGCAGTGCATGTTGCACTTCAAGGCTCTTTCAAGTAAGAGTCCATCATCTTCCTCCTTTCCAGGACGTCTCAAAGGAGTTTTGGGGGCTCTGGTATCAGTTCTTACCCCCAGAACTCTGTAACTCTGCTGCGGGCTCTCTTTTCCTCGGCTCTCCTTCCAGGAGTCTTCTCTGCGGTGCTGCATGTTGTTCCTGCTGCTCTTTCGGTTCAGGTCTTATCAGTTGGCTTTTAGCCATAACTTCTGGACCCTGCCGCTGCTTCTGCTCTGTCTCTGCTCACTCACGATGGAAAACATCTCCCAGCTCACAACTACAGGCACCTAGCCCAGCTTTATGCTGTTCCAGGTCCCTGCAGCTCCCCAGCCCGGGGCTGGGGGGCCTCAGAAGCCCTGAGGGGCTCAGAGCCCCTCTCCTCGTGGCTCCTACAACATGGCCACTTCTTCCTACTACCCAAACTACAACTCTTCTCTTCCATTTGCTTGTGGTATGTTTACATTTCTGCAGGAGCGCCCATTGGACAAAACTTCAAAACTTCCAGGGGTTTCCACCCCTTGGGGGTTACCATTTTTCTTAGCCTCTGGGGGAAAACAAGGTTCAAACCACTACACTTCCATACTAAGGTTTCATGCTTGCAGAATCTCACAAAACCAACACATCACTGGTAGGATGCCCAGGCAGAGGTGGACTCCTCCCACCACAGTGAAGGAAGAAATGGTGAGAATTTAGCGGTCCTTAAAAAAGAATTATCTAGCAAACTTCCAAAAGACACCAAGTCCTTTTGAGATTGATGAGCACATTCTGCCTCTGGTTTCCTGCAAAAAAAACTCAGACTGAACACACGGACTTTGGTTTAGTCAAATATTTGCCTTCCAACGGCTTAGACCACCACCCAATATTATCCCAGAGAACATTTTTCTTCTCATCGTTGCAAACAAAGGCTTATGAGGTAATTCCAATTCCAATTGCTCAAAGATCCCTTTGATGTTACATAACGCCCCACTCAGAGGGCACACTGCCAGCACTGCCTGCTTACTTACTCAGATCATAAAAGTGCTGCCAGAAAGCCTCCATCCACTTGTGAAGTTCATCCCTACTGTCAGTAGCAAAGCGTTGCGTCACAGCCTCTCCAGACACAGGGTTGATAACAGAGAAGTTATTAGTTCTCCTTCTGGAGTCCTTATCCACAACTCGAATTCTGGTTTCCTAGGAACGACAAACTGTGGTAATGAGTTATTGCTTCAGCTCCACGCTAGCATCACCTTATGGCCAATAACAGTGTAAGGAAGGTATCATTTGGCTTTGTATCTAATCCAGATTAATTTCCAATTAAAAAAAAAAAGAACTAATGTTAGGAACTGATGATAAAAATGTTTTCTCATAAAACTATTCAAATGGTACAAAATATGTGAATAGTAATGGAATGGAGTGCAATTATTGCAGTTTAGTTCTGAATTACAGGATGTACGTTCTGTGTTTCCCCTCCCTCTGCCTTCACCTGCTCATCTCACACTGTTCCCTTTTCTCCACAGCAGTTTAGCAAATAATCTAAAATAACAGCAAGCAGCTCCTTTTCTCCATATGATTCAGATGGACAACCATGTTGTTACAGCTACTACTTAGGTCTCCTACTGCATTTCTGTGGGATACTGTTTACCCAGTTCTAAACATTCAGGGCTGAAAAAACAGTGACAAATTTAAAAAGAAACTTACCTAGTCCATTTCAAAATGGACATTTGAGTTTTACCTTAATTAGGGAGAGCTATATAGAAAGAATTAAATACATATAAAGAAGTATATGACAAGTCTATAAATTTCTTTAGCTAGAGTTAGAAAGGCTCTCAGATTACACGGCACTGTTATAGCCAAGGTTTTCCATTCTGTTCAGGGATGCAGTTCAATTGATTTTTACCATCCAGATTAAATTCAGTGGTATTTTCAGAGTATCTAGTTTCTTTGTTATGGTATTACTACAATTAAAAAAAAAAAGGCACTTATCTCCAACTGAGTGATTTATTTTTTTGTGTGTAAAACGCTGAAAGACTTAAGAAAATGTCTGATACAAAATGCAACTAAAAAATTCCAGAATGCAACTGGTCAACATTGCTGCTCATCACAAACATGATGACAAACATGATGAGCAAATTAAAGTAACTAACATCACTTTACTTACAAAAGTAAAGCAGAAAAACTGGGAATATCTTTGCACGTACAGTTCAACCTGACTGAACAAGCAATGGTCCATTACAACACGGCTTCTCAGAGGAGTTTGACCAAAAGGTGGCTTCGGGGCATTCCTCAAAATACAGTGGGGACAGAACAATCAGTTCCTTTTTACACAGCTCAACCTGATGTCAAACATCTGCTAAAGATGTTAAACATATACCTACAGAAATTAAGTTTACACATGGGATCCCATGGGGATAAGCCTAGTTCCGATACTCAGAAAAACAAAAATTATTCTACAGAACATTCCCCAGATTTTAAATGCATTACTGAAGTAACCATTTGAAATACCAACAGCTGCTTGTAGCATATCTGATGGATATGCTCATTTAAATTCTTCTGTCTAAAAATAGGAGATGAAGTAATTCATCCATAAGTGCTCTATATCCCATTAACTCAGGTAACCATAGATACCAGTAAAAAAATGAAATCAAATAGATTAACATTTGACAGGTAAGAACTTCAAGCATACCATACACACAAGTTTATTTAATGATGTTTGCTGCAGGTTTTATCCCACAACTGTGGGATTATTCAGCAGAGATAAATCCTCAAGCAACAATCTATATCTGATGCTTGGATATTTCAGCAGTGATACAAGATGCCATTACAGTAATGGGCTGATGAATTTACCAAGCTTGGGTGAATTACACTACATGCCCAGTTCCACCTAACAACAAAAAAACCCCAAAACAACAACAAAAAGCCATTAAACAAGCAAACAAAAACACCCACCCCACCCCTAAACAACAACAAAAAGTTTTTTAAGTTACCATGTTCTAATAATGATCAATCTCTCCCAGTCTTATAAGACAACTGAACCAACTCTGCTATAGCAAGTGTAAAGACCAGAAGAATCAGCGCATCAGAACAGGAAAAACAGCTGAATCTTGAACTCAAGCGACTCTTCTGGGAAAGCTGAAGCCAGTTTTATGTTCTATATGCAAATGATTATTCGTGAAGATGGGGAAAGACTGAAAGGGAAAATGATATGATTTTTGTAAATAAGAACCTCCCTTTATACTTTTCCCCCCAAATAAAAAAATCTCTTTGCCTGATAATGCCTCTCTGAAAAGCTCATATTTTAAGCTAAAAAGAAAACAAAAACAAGAAGAGAGAGGTTGCAGAGGTACAACACTTTCCTGCTAAGCCAGTCCTGACACAGTAAGAAGCACTGGTTATAAAGACCATTTGAAGATATCAAAACAAATGACAGTTCTTGAGAAAAATATTGAATAACCTAAGACCCAGTTCCATGTATCTATTTTAAGACTAAAACAAATCAAATAATATCTAACAAAATTCCTTCATGTTTTTAGTATCAAAAAAAACCCCAAAAACCAATCAAGAAATAACAGTACAGCAATGGAAACCCAATATAACCTGTGTACACATTGGTTCCCGTTGTAATGTTAATAATTTCCATTTGTTTGGGGCAAGTAGGGAACACATTAATGCACAAGACTAAAATCACTCTATCAGGTAATATTTTCTCCCTTCATTGTTTTGTGAACTTGTACTAATGTAACATCCTCATGGCCACTGGACGGTAAGTACAACATTTAAGTATAACATGGAAAAGCAATCTTAGGATATCTGTGCCATTTTAGTTGTCTGTGGAGCACCACAGCAGCTGAAAACACAGAGAAGCAGATGGCAATACATGACCTGGCAATGTTCTGTGGAGCACCAGGGAGCCATAAAGCAGCTTACAAACCCCTCGATCTGAGCACATGTGTGGGATGTGGGTATTCTCTCTGCTTCCCCTGCCCACATCCACTATCTCTTTCAAGCAACTGCAAGGCTAAACTGAGCAATGGGACACAAGATACCAGACATTTGGAGGCACCTAACTAGTCTGTGCTTTTCCAAAATATTTTCACATGGATGAAGCAGTGTGACAAAGTCCTTACTATCAAGAATATCGATATTTTCAGGGCTGATCTCGTTTCCCTGTGCTGGAGTTCCCACACATACAGAGAACATTGCTCATGTTGCTGGGTCCCTAAAAGCTTATATGGCCAAGAACTCATATACATATTCCCCTGCTCCAGCCCAAGGATGAACTCCCTGGTTCCCTAGAAACACTGCATGGCTCCCTCCAAGTCATGCTGCTGCAACCATCGCCACATTTTCCAGCGAATTCCTTTACCTGACCTAGTCCAGAACAGATGTTCCAACAGGAACTGTCACTCAAGGCAAGGTCAGCTTGATTCTGTCTTTTCCCTCCTGCTGCACAGTTTATCAATGGCTGATGAACCCCTCAGTCACCAGCACGGACATGGAGACAGCTCTGGGTCTGCATGGCACCAGGACTAAGACTGTACCAGTAAAATATGCCAGGAAGGAAATCATGGGACTACAGCAATTTGAATCAACACCCCAGAATACTTCAAGCTTCAGGCATCCATGGCACAAAAAGAAAATTACAATTTATGAACAAAACACAATAGATTATGTATTCCAAACACTGAGAAACCATGTGAACTGCTGGTACATTTACCAATTTGCTAAGATATCAGGCATAGGCAAGGTCCTTTATTTTTCATTTGAAACTAAAGAAAACTTGGAAAAAAATTAGGAATTGGCCCATAAGGAATATTTCTTCAAATTGGATTGCAGTAAATTTTCTTTGCTACAGAAAATATAATTTCTCTTTTCCTACTTAGTTGTGCAATATAATATGTTATAATCACATTTAGCTGGAACAATAATAGTAGCACTTGCATAATAGGAACTGCAGAACCATTCTTGCTCAACAGCAGTAGCAGTGAAGTCATCTGAAGTTGAACTAATGACTTTGCTGGTCTTAATAGCTTCTTCAAGTCACCATTCAAAGGGAATGGGAAATAAGACTATCAGTGTGAATATTTTCCAGAGAGTTTCTCATAAATCCAGATGATTTCATTACTTTTCAGAAAGTATCTTTCAATTACATGTAAAGGATCAGCTTCACATTACAAGTGAAAATGCGACATATGCAACCAGAAGAAATTTTAGTTAGAACGTCTGGAATTGGTGTTCAATCTCAACTTTCATTTCGAAATTGCTGTTTCTATAACAACATGAAGCAGACAAGCCATTATGATTAGTCTGCTTTCATTTAATCCATAAGAGAAATTTCATAACAAAGGAATCAAAAAATATCTGCAGGTATTAAGTTATTTTCAAGAGAAACTGTTTGAGTAGTAAAGTATCCAAATATGTTTTCAACTGTGATTTCTTTTTTTCTAGTTTTAATTTAAATTGAAGAAAGATTCATAGACAGTGAATAGCAGCCTGACACTTGTAAAATGGTATAAGATATATGATTTATGTACCTTCTGCATGTTAGCTTTAAGGATACTCTGGAAACGAAAGGACAGTCTCTCAGGAAAGGCTTATTAAGATGGATTTTAGGTTCTAAGTGTATTGGTAACTTGGAGGAGCGAAATATCTTAGCAGATATGGTTATTTTATAAGGAAAACCAAAACTAGGATATAGACTCAAACAGAGACCTCCAAGGAAAAATATGAAACAGTCTGATAGATAATTTTAAAAAATATTCCTGTCACGATTTGGAATATGGATTTAGTCATTCTATAATTTACAGAAGTTTGCCATTTCTTAAGTGATATTGTGAAGAGCTGGAAAACAGAATTATGGCAGAGGCTAACTAGTGCAATGAGAAGCGACTGAAGAGGTAAGCAAGTAACCTACTTAAATATATATCACGATCTAAATATTTATTTTACCTAAATGTATGAACAGCTGGAAGAAAAAATGGCTCTGTTAAAAGATATAACACTAGAAAAAAAGGTATTTTCATTTAAGGAATCAATTTAAATCTTAGCTTGTTAAAAAATAAGTCCTAACACAAACAAGTCACATTGTTATACACTGTTTAAACATTTGGGTTACATACCCAAATCTCTGGTGAGATTGCAGCTGGCTTTTCCAGAAACATTAAAGCCACCAAAAGCTGATATTGCTGTTGTAAGAAGCAGTCCTTTATTACTCTGTGTCCCTACATATTCCCAATCACTGCTGAGCCCCTTCCTTCTACCACATCAGCACTTGTGTAGCCATGTAATTATTAAAGGGAACCACAGTCAAAGCCATCCCTCCTCGTGCCCCCCAGATGAACTAACTTTAACCCACATCAGTTCCCTTGTCCAATTCATCAGTCAGCTGCCCCAGTGCCTGCCCTGGCACAGAGCAGCACAGCAGCTGAACAAGCAACTGGACAGCAGGAATGCTTCCCTCGGAATTAGTGTTGGCACCAGGCGCTCGCAGCAGCACGGCAGCAGAATCCAGATCGACCTGTGCTTAACACAGCTTCCAAACGTGTCTGTTTAGTTATGTAAGATGAACCCAGCTATGTCGATTGCAGACAACATTAAATTCCTCTGCCTATCTTTATGTGAAATTAACCCTTGATGACTGCACCAAAACCAGTTTTTGAGAGCATCTATTCCCGCTACCGCTCACCATTCTAGAAGGTCCTTCCAATACCACTCTTAAAGTGAACATTGAAATATTACTTCAGATTAAATACTTTCTGCTTCTTTAGCCAAATACTAAATAACACTTAACTTCACGTTTTAACACTTTAATTTTTAAGTTTTAAACTCAGCCTTTCCAATCAGGGTATATAAAAACAGTAGTAATGTCATCCTGAAGAACAGAACTTCCAAAGTTATTGTGCCCTGAACAAAATCAGTATTAAGAAAAGCAGCTTATTTTAAGGCACTAAAATATTTTGAACAATTTTCCAGGTCTCCTTCTAATTAAGACTGTGGCCAAATAACAAACCACAACAAAAAAGCTTTTGTTAAAACTCCAACTTACTGAGGACAAAAGTCTACCAGAGCATTGCTAGGGGACTGCAAGCAGGGCTGTCTTACGGAACTGTCATATAAGAAGTTATTACTTGTCCTAAATAAAAATATCCTCCTTTTTGCCTCTATGCTAACCAGTCTAATGCAATGGAAGGAGCTTACATCCACAGCTAAGAAATGTAATGTCCCTGATAAAAAATTCATTGACTGAAAATTTCACTGAAGCACATCCCACCCACGTGCTACCCATAAAGCATTCTGCATATGAGCTGCTTAGAGCCCAAATGACTCTATGTATGCCTTAAACCAGAAAGAACCTCCACCAAAATAAAAAAAAAAGACCCAAAAAAAACCCAAAACCCAAAACAAAAGACCAAAACAAAAAACAAACGAGTAAACAAAAAAACAAGAAAACCCAAACCAAAAACTCCATACAACCAATTTTACCTTGTTGATGGAAACTGTCAATGCTGGCTCCAGCTTGGCCTCAATTTCTTCTGGTGTGTAATAACAAAAGAGTTTGCCACCTCTTAGTACACAATACAGCCTCCGCCAGCTCGTTAGACCTCCTACTGTTTGCTGAAGGGAAGAAGTCGTCAGAAATTGCCAAACAAACATAAAACAAGACCATATTACAAGGTATACACACATCAGAACTGATGATCAAAATTTAGCCAGACCAAATTCGTTCCTAAAACAAAGACTCTCTGTTGCAGAACACTTCAGTCACCGATTTCTGAAATGTTAGCAGTACTTTATATGTCTCCTGGTGTTTTACAGTTTTTGGAGACTTATTGCCATGTGACACTAACAGTACAGAGTCTGTTGGTTCACACAGAATGAAATCTATATCTGGTGTCTCTTGTAAGAAAGAAACCACCTTTATTAGCTACAATAATTGCACAATAAGAGAAATAAAAAGAGTACTTCACTTTGGAAATACACAGTACATTCAACAAATGTTAAGCAAAGACATTTGTCTAGAATTTCCACTTTCTCAAATGAATTTTCTGAACAGCTTTCATAAATGCATTACAGTTTCACAACCAGCTAAAAGCCTGTAATTCAGCACTCCTGATAATGACCCAGACCCTCTGGCCCTCCGCTATCACCTTCTCATATGCCTAGTTGTGCAACAAATAAAATAGAGAAGTAAAGTGAGTTCACGTGAATCATTTCTGAAGGGATGAGTTTAAATACGGCTCAGTTCCCCAGCCTGACTCACAATGGTGTGATACGAACTCTTGTGCCAGCAGAGAGGTGTGCACAAGGATGAGAGTTGCAGGATTATTAGAACTGCTTCCATCAAGTACCAGCCTAAACCAATTCTGAAACAACAACTATACTTGATCTTTGCCTAGCAGCCTAAATCATTTTATTGATAAGCACACCAAAGAAACATTTACTTCTCCATGCTCAGCCACTGAAGGTACTGTTTCTGAATGCAGCAATGACAGTTTTCTTGCTCTAGGTAGAATGGGTGAAAAACAACAGTTCTCAATAAACCACTCCAGGTAAAAGCAAATGTTTTAGCAATTGACTCTTAGTGACAGCTATTAACAGAAGAGGATGTAAACACAAGCAAGGTCTTCTTACCTGCTGATTTAGAAATCCTGCCATCATATCCCTGGCCATGCAGGAGGGCTGAGCAACTAAACGGCAACACATGTTTCCATACAGGGGGAGCCAAAAAGAGGATTCCTCTGGGGGAAAAAAACACAGGAAAAAGATAGGCAAACACTAAGTTCTGAATACTGGTCCTAAATACATTGTTTAGCTTGCTACATCCATTTTTACATTAAGATTATGAATCTAAATAAGCATTTTCTCATATTTTAAGGAAAAGATTTCATCCTGTAGTATTTGACTCAAACTGATGTTTAGTCCTCAGTAAGATTTTTTAATAAAAAAAAAAATCCAAACTAACTTCAAGTAAAAATGGAAATATCGTTCTTCAAGAACAAGTTGTTGTTACATAAAATATAACTTTAAATCTCATTTCACAGCTACAAACATTTTGAAAGATAAATACCCTGGCCCTCTTATCTAGGAGGATCCCAGAGCGTGTCTCATTGTGGCCCACAGTTACATTTACACTTGAGCACTTTGCTTCAGATTGTTACAGCTCAGAATTTGTATCTAGTTCTGTCTTTAGCACCAGAAGAGCATTTAGGATTCCAAGGAGTTTCTAATGAATTGGAATATCCCTCCTCCTTGCTAGTCATAGGCTCTCTCTCTGTAATTAGAAGTAGGTAATGCAATGTTCCATTGACGTAACTCTATCTCTGTTCGTGGTTTAGAACTGCTTGTAATGAACCAAAATATCCAGGTATGTCATTTCTCACCAGACTAAATTAAGAAAATTAGTGACAGAAAAAGGAACGTGAAGAAGAGAGAGTTTAAAGTACTAATGAAGAAATGCTTACAAATATCAAAGATACTCAGAATTATTCATCCAACCTTTCAAGAAACAAATACCCCATAAATCTTCAAATCTGTACATATTCAGAATTACTGAAATTTAAAGTAGGAAATTCCTTCTGAGGTCAAGTTTACCCAAGTAAAAGAAAGTTCCCCGAAGCAACAGTGAAAGTCCCACGTCTAAAACTAGCAGTTAGAGGGTGGATTATGGGAGGGGCTATCCTTGCAGAAAACAACAGACAAAGTATCAAAAACTGTAACTTAAAACACCACCATCAGTTGCACCATAATCACAGTCCCTGTAGTGACAGCATCTCTCAACTTGAGCTGCCCTAGAGCTTAAGTACAGCTTATGCCCCATGTTAAATCTGGGTCTCAACCAACCTCACTGAGCTGAAGATATTTTTCTTCTTTCCTTCTGACTGCAGAGGAAAAAAAGTTGTTCTTCAATCCAATACCCTTGCTTGGTTGTGAGGAAGGTGAAATAATTTGTTTATAGCTACAACTCACATAAGACTGAGATGCAAATGACAGAAGAAACTCCCAAAAGAATTAAATTTTCATCTGGACTTGAAATTTTACTCAACTTGTAGTTTATTCAGCTGTGTACAGATGCCTGTTTTAGAGCTGTTAAATATTTTATTAAAGTTGTTCTATATTAAGTATCAAGAAAAATAATCTCTTTAAGCTCTTTAGTTTACAAGAGCTTAATGCAAAATGTTACTGGTTTTTTATTTCCTTAAATTGGTACCATATGTACTTACCATTTCCTGTAACGGTAAGGTTGTGGGTCCTGAAATTGTCCTCGGCACTCTCCAGTCCCAAAGTAGTATATGCCAGCAAACTGTACTTTGCTTCACTAAATGTGAACAAAAAGGCACGTTTAAGACATTTCTGCTTCATGTTGCTCAGGCAGTAATTAAATGGAGTCTAGACAGGCCTGTGATATCATATTTGGGTACAAGGGAACTCCAAGGTGCAAGGCAGCACCTCTCAGTGACCACAGATTGCCACCCCCAACCTCTTTCCATACAACTCCCATGTCTCTGGTTTTCCTTGTGAACAAATTCTGTTCCATAATCCGTTCATCTCCTTGCTATATCCTTATCTCCTGCCTCCATGCTGTGTCTACCTCCAGTTCCCTTCCACCCCACAACTTCCAGGTCTATGCCAAGAGGCCCCATCAAGTGGCTCCTTCCGTTGTCTCCTCTCTGGGACTCTCTGGCCAGGAGAATTCCCTTGAGGTCACTGCCTCCGAGCTGGGTTCGTGCTTCCTGGGGAGCCAGTAGCTGCCAAACCCAGGGATAAAGGCTGTGCCATCCAAACCCTCCGCATCCTGAGGATGCTCAAAGCATCTCCCTCCTCTAGGCAGACATCAATTAATTTTTAATAGTTTTTCAGCTCTTATTGCTAGGCCTAAAGCAATTAGATTTGGTAATAGGTTCAAAAATTCCTACAGTTAATAGAACAACTGATGAAACAAACTTTATCTGAAAATACAGGTTAAAAATTAAAAGGCATTAACTGCTTCTCCATGTTGCTCTGCTCTTTTACTTTGCCTGTGCAGACTACACTTTATAAAAGAGTTGTTGATAAATGTATTTTTAATAGTATCTAATAGATTGATACTTCCCATGCAGAAATCTGTGCAGAAATCCTGCAGTCAGTTTTGTAGCATAAAGCATTTTTTCCCTTATTGTGTTTACAGGTTTCAGAATGTTTTATCTTTGTTTTGTGTTTTGCCTGGCAGGAGTGGGGGGAGGAATCACTCTTACAGTCCAGCACAGTGCATGTGGAATGGAATTCTTGGAATAAACTGGTATAAATTTGGTATGTTTAACCTTTTCCCTAAAATACTCATCAGACCAAATAATAGATTTACAGCCCAACAATGCAGTAAGAATTTCACCTGGCTAATGGCAGCTTGAACAGAGTTCACAGGAAAACAAACCCCTCAAAAAACACTAACTACTCTCCCTAACAGGATCTAGCACAAGATCCTTACAATATCTTCAGTAGTGCATAAGAAAGCCTAGTGGTGTAAAAGGTCAGAAGACAACACTGAACCAAATCACTAAAAAATAGTTTTCTATCATAATATTTTTCAAATCTTGTTTTTCCTAACAGCACAGTGGGAACATACAGCTTTAAAATCTTTGTCTCTGCCAATGAACAAGGCAGATGTCTGCCTACCCCTAACCCTAATGAAAGAGGAGGAGGAAAAGGAGCAAGTTTGTTAGCAGGGAGTTCTGATACACATCTGTCTCAAGGGAATAAAGAGAAAATTAAATACGTTATAACATTCTGGGTGAAAAACCACTGCTGTGAAGCATTTCAAGAGGGCAATCTGAACAAAAACTCATCAGCATTTGTATATATTCTCTGCTTGACTGTTCCCTAACAAAAGATTCTCCAGCGATTATGTTTGGGCATGCAGTTGAGCAATGCATTACCATTCTATCTAAACCGTACCAAAAAGTTCAGTTTCTTCTCACAGATAAAACTGCTGTGCTGATTTTAAAGTTGCTTTTTTTTCTAAAGCATGACTAATTACAACAACAACCTTGCAAAAATAAATAGCTACTTCACTTTTAAAATATGCTTCACAGTAACATTTTCATTCTAAAATACAAGTCATTCCTTTCAGGCAGCTGCAATATAATCTAGAAAAGTTTTATCTACAAGTATTTTTCAAATTTAACTGGCTAATCAGGATTGTTGACTATGTTTTTCCTCTGCGTTTCACAGAATTAGCTAACTGCCTTAAATGGCAATTTCTTTGTATAACAAAGAGTAATCTGCCTGCTGCATCTCATTCAGTATTTTGCATATCTACAGTATTTTTCCATGTAATAATTTCATTTGGAAAAAAAAAAAAGTCAGCTCATCTCCACAACATGCCTGTGGCAAAGGCTCGTTGTTAAATTTGTTTACTGATCAAGAGACAGAGGCATCGAATTTGCCACACAGACACTGGTGTGGGAAGGTGTAACTATACCACCCTTTCTATAAATGCATGTTAATCAATGTATTTCCAATTCCAGAATCTGTTCCTGAATATTAAACCCAATGTTAGAAATCCTAGTCTTAGTTCACTCACTCAAATAGATCGAGTGGAAGATCAGGGAGTCAAAGAAAAAAAAGAAATCCAACATGCTCATTTTTCAATCAGATCTTAAATAATAGAAATTAAAACCAAATACAACCTTCAGGTATTAATGAGAACACAACGATAAAAGTGAGGCCACTAGATTAGACTATGTACTTCCTGCAAAATATCACCAGGGATTTGCCAATTCAAACATAGAACATGGAAGCAGAGCTGTGCCTTCAGCCCAGTGGGGGACAATACATCAAACCCAACAGCAAGTGCCTGTGATGTGTGATGCCAGTTCTGCAAGTGAATAAACATGCACTTCTGGGAGACTCTCCAATAACTTATCCAGAGAGCAACGTGGTTACTCTGAAATTCAATAGTATAACTGCACTGAAGTTTTTTCTTCTATGACAAATGTGAAAAGAAAAAAAACAAAGTTTAAAATATAACAAAAAAATTAAGCAGGCAAAAGACTGTCTACAAATTAAAAGAGAGATAATTAAGAGATAATATAACTCAAGTTAACCAGCCTAAGCAACCATGCAAAGCACTTTTTCACTAAGCTTTTGCAAGAAGTTACAAGTCTGACTGTTTCCTCACTAGCCAGAGAGATTTCTAAGCCAAGGAGTTTGACAAAGAGGGATCACAGAGTTTTTGGAAAATGGAGAATTTCACTCATGTGTGCTCTGAAACGAAAAAGGTTTGTACAAATGAAATCTACAGAGAAAAGGTGTTCACATAATACAGAAAGTTCACCTTTTTGTTGCGGTTTAATTTCCCCTGTTGGACTGGTAAAACTCTTGTAATCTTGCAATCTCTTCCCCTTTATAAGGGCTACATACCAAGGTCTTACTAATATAAATCCTAAGGGGAGCCTATAAAAAAATTGACAGCTTATTTTCTGCCTATAATAACCCATTTCTTTCCAAGGAACTTTTTTAATCACCCAGCAAAGCCATCATTAAACACTTCATTGTTCATTTAACTCTGTTAAGAAAGTAACAGTCACCGCGAGACGATTATCCACAGCAGAAACAACAAACTTCCAAGGCAGAGGAAAGGAAAATTCAACTGAGAAACCAAAAGCAAAACCCAAGGGAGGAGGCAGCTGTTTAAATTGTCTGCTGGTGCCTCTTCCTTAAAAGACAGGCAATCTATATTCAAGCAAATAAGCCAGTGGTTATATCTGATTCAAACTGTGTCTAATGATAGCGCGTCATGGCCCAGTTGAAGCTGGTGGAAAGCATGGCCACCTGACATGATGCAGATTGAAAAATACCTTGTCATTAGGTGGAACCCACTGGAAAGTTAGTGATAAAACTCCCTTTGCTCTGGTGGATAAGATCTCTTGTATGTCTATTTTTGAGTCAAACAGTAATATCAGTATACAGTAGTATCAGTTTGACAAAGACAGAATATGCTTGAATGTTTCCTTTCAAAAATCACAGGAAATAGATGTATGAAGCTAGACTAAGACTACACTCAACACCTGGCAAGCATTAAGCATTGATTCTTTACTTCTCAGCTGCCAAAAAAAGTAATTCCTTGAAAAAATTGCTTTCTAAAAAAAAACAAAAACAAAAACAAAACAAACCAACAAAAAACCACTGGTATTATTAGCATTTGCAAATTAGGTATTTGGCCTTCTTAAATCTCAATAAAATTAAAGTAGCTGGAAAATATTAGAAGGCAGTTAATTTCACTAGAAAACGTATGCAAGACTAAAGATCATTTTGAAAAGGAAACAGGTAAATTATTGGGAACAGCACTTATATCTATGAACACTGAAAACCAGTAAGTCATTCTAAAACATTCTGTGCTAAAGGCAATTAAGAAATCTCCTGTTAAGCAGCTTGTAACTGTAAAGTGCCTTCGGCAGTCCAGAGTTTTACTGACAAGCTGGAAGGAGAATTAGAGGAGAGGGTAAAAGGGTGGGTTCTCCTGCCTACATATACACCTTTTATTTCACACAACTTGTAACTTTTAGACACGTCTACCTGTCTACCGTCAAGTATGAGCAAAACTGGCCAGGTGCAAAAATAGAATGGGGGAGAGAGTAAATAGGAAAGGTGGAGGGACAGAGGGACACAGGCAGACTGACTGTACAAGCTTGACTTCTTCTAGGGATCAAACCAAAAATATTTTAGAGTTTGCAAAGAACAGTGGATTTATCAGCTGCAGAGCAGAAAGATAAAGCCTACTCCTGTGTTTCAAGATCAGAACCAGGCCCTAAGGCTCAGTGACATGGTAGGAATTCACACCTACTTTCTCATTTCCTATTTAAAATGTAAATTTTTATCACTTGGGCAAATACACAGAGAATCAGTTTCTTGGCAGATTTCCAAAAATTTACAATATATTTGGTTTATTTCTATTTTAAAAGGTATAAAACCAGAATATCAATATATAGGGCTTACGGGATGACTGGGTCAGCAGGCAAAAGGGATTCACTGCTGTCTTCTTCCAGGGCAGCTTTGAGTTTCTTCCCTGTAGCTTTGCTGAGGGACGTTTTAAGCTTCTTTGCTAGCTTCTTAGGAGTGTTTGTTATATATAAAGACTCCTCTGTGCAGCAACTATACACTTCAACCTTCACCTGGAAATCTGGTCTTGCTTCATTGCTGAAGGGGGGGGAGGAGAAAATTTCAGAACATTTCTTAATAAACTGTGCATGCAGCCAAGGAATGCTGCTGCTACTTTATGTATTAAATAACGTATTTCCAATCAAGGGGAGGAGTGCCACGAGATTCAGGCACAGACATACATTAATATGGAATTAAGGACTACAGTACACAGCAGTAACTTAGTGTTGAAGTCATGAGATGAATGTTATAATTGAACCATAAACAATTACAAACAGGAAATTCAACGTTTAGGTTAAAAACTGAAAAAAACAGCCCACGTTATGGAAATACACAGGCAAGACATTCAAACACACTTAAATCTGCCCTCTACTGTTACACAAAAATCACATGATTGAAAACCTATCCATATCTATGGTCCTAAATCATATTGAACTGTTTTAAAGATATCTTAGTTGCACCCCACACCCTTCACATTACTGAAAAAGATCCTATCTTGCTTAGATCTAATGAAATCTGTCGTTCATAGCGCAACTACCCACTGCTGCATCCTCCTGTCACAGCCTTTCGCTGTTTTCAGTTCTACTGTTCTCAAGCTTAGTCATCAAACCAGAAGCCCAGCCTCATCTTTCAGGTACAAATCATGTCATGACACAGATGCCCATGACAAAAGCATGCCAAAAGCTTTTATAACAAGTCTTTCTTTATCCTGGGAGATACAAGACAAGTCAGAGTGCCTTTTCTGCTTTTGTTGTAGTATTTCACAGAAACTCATAATGATAAGTCTCATATCTTTGAAGAAGCTGACTTAAATCTTTGTCCCCACTCTTAACTGGAACAGATGTTTAAAAAAGTTTAAAATCTGATTTAAACTCAGGATCTTGATTTAAAGTTTGAGGTAGTTCTGGCTTTCAAGTCAGTCTTCCTCAGGAGAGTGAATCTAAATTGTTGATATAAAAAATAAAGGGGGGGAGGGGAGTTAAGCACATGCTCAGATAGGTGTGACAGAACATGAGGTGTTACGTGAGGAACGAGACTGTAGCCTGCTGTACAGAATAACACTTAAAACACTGGGTGCAATGTTGATGTCTATACTTTCATAATGCTTTCAGGTTTTAGCATCAATTTAATTCAGTCCTTGAGATATAAGTTTATCTCTTTATATGAAGAAAAAGGTTTCAACATGGCAAAAATGAAAATAAAGAGAAGGAACGAAAAGATTGAGTGGTACATCTAGAACCAGCATCATCCTGTACACAAAACCCAGCCTTCCAGAGGTGGGGATGCACCACCCACTGAAATGAACAGAATCTCTACTGATTCCTTGGCCCTCAGCAAAACCTAGTGGACCTCAGCCAATCTTATTCACAGGCACTTTCAAAAGAAAACAGCAATATTTGTACTTCATTCAACAGAAGTAAGTTATACTCACAATATGGTTACATTTTCAAAACAGATGTCTGTTATTGCTTTATCCACAATGGTCACCTCAGTATCAAAAACCTCAGCTCCCATTCTGAACAAACAAAAAACTGCATAGCGCTGTGATTCTGGAGAGAGCCAAAGAAAGGTTTTATTAGCCCTATTGCACAACACAGTGCTCAACACTTCCAGTAAACAAAAGTATACTAAATGGTAATCCACACCTCTAAGGAATTGCCCTGAAGTTCTTCCCACCATAAATTTTCATCATAGTATTTTATGATAATTGACCTATCAAAGCTGCTGTATAGGTACAACAACATTCACAGAGGGAAAAAATACCCACCCCTATGAATAAAGAAAAAAACCAGTTGAGTAATCAGGTGTAGTTTGGGCTAGCAACTTCAAAAACGTTAGTAAAAATGTAATTTTGTTTAATAAAACTAATTGTACCAAAAAAAAAAAAAAAGACCTAACATATGATCCAAAGTCTGTATCATTTTATGAATGTACTATATAGGATTAGACTATTTTGCCATGCTTTGCCCCTCTGACCCTATTGAAAATCAAAGCGAAATCAATGCCAGGTGACAGCTGGAACAGATTTAGGGTTAATCTCCATGACACAGCAAAATGCATGTACTTGAAGACTACCCAATAATACACTCAACACCAACAGACAACTTTCATTTAAATTTCTCACTGGAAACAGGCTGCAATATACTCTCTCAAGTGTAGAAAAGACATAGAATAATGTGTTTAATCAGAAGTTTCTCAGTTAACCATTTAATAACATATTTTTATTGCTTCCTCTGCAATTAGTCTCTTCAGAGACTAGAGTTTAAACATAGAGAAGCACAGGACTGAACTAACTCAACTTGCTACAACCAACTTCAACTTATGAGCATTTACACAACAAAGAGCAAAATATGGGCCTAATGAAAGGTCAAAGAAGGGGTTGAAATGAGTATGGACTTCCTCATTCAGTTCAGATTTACAGGCATAAGCAATTGCTTATCAGAGTAATTAATAATGATCTTACATACTTTCTTTATTGCTGAAGTGATCAGAGCCTTTCCACATCAATGGTATCCGAACATCTAAAGGGGAAAAAAAAAAAGATGGGGAAATTAAGTTACAGTCAATACCGTAGATCTGTGATCAAAACAAGTTACAAAAAGTTTCTTGTTTCTTTTTCTGATGTTCTGGTGGTAACAGGACCTTCCACCCAAAGAACAGTATATTTATTTTAAGTTTATTTCAAGAGAAAATTCATCAATTTGAAGTGTCATTTTTGTTTAGAAATTAAGCTAGAATAAAGAATATTTTAAATCTCATTTGAAAGTACCTAAACTAACATTTCAGAGTGGCTGTGTAACATAGTTCTGAGAGGTATTCTCTGAGGCCATTATTATGCATACATGTAAACCGAAACTCTGCTTGCCTTGTGCTGGAAACCACTCATCCCACTGCAAGAGGAAAGCCTTCCTGTTTTAATGAAAAGACTGGGATACTTATACTGCAAACACTTAATTCTTGCTTTGCTAACCACAGAGAAAATGCCACTTGTAATCACAGTTCTAGTTAGAATTGTCTTAGTCGGCATAAAAAGAGTTTCGAAATCTTTTTTTTTTTTACCTCAAAAACATCGCTCTACTTCAGAACCATAGCAGAAAGGCAATTATAGAACCATTATTTTAAATCATGCCTGTCATTTTAATATTAGGAAAGTATTTTCTACAATAAATTTTCCAGTTTATCTGCTCAATCCAACACAGCACTGAGTGACATTTTCCTCCAGTTCTGAGGAATCAGGTTTAGACAATGTTTCTTATTAGTCCCTTGTCAAAAGACAAATGCAGCAGTGGGGGCTTTATAAACCCAAAGTTGGTTTCTGAAGTACAATGGTGCTGTTTAGAAGTACGTGCAATATATTAAGCAACACATGATGGCAGCAGTGAACAGCACAAGCTCAGTTGTCTTTTGATAAAACCCTTAAATATTGTTATAAAGGAGCATTGCTGGCTCCAGCGTTGATTTTCATATGAGGCTGATGGAAAAATCCACATACAGTATGCTAAGATGCAAAACAGCGGTGGCATTTTGGCAACACGTTGTCATGTATTCCTACAGGGGTTTACCCACAAAACTTCCTGTTGATTTAAGTGAAACCGCATGGTCACTCTGTCCCAGAAGTTAAATAAAAAATTCAAATTTAAGGTAATTTTGATTATGAGATGTATTATTGTAAATGCTATTTCAATTCTGAAAATTTGAAATTCAGCTGTTTCTAATCATTCATGAAAACTAATGAATTTTCCAGTGAACTGCCAGCAGGTAGCTTTAAACTGCCACAACTTCCTACAAATCAATACGTCACCATGTTCCAAAACTGTCTTTCACTTCTAAAGATGCATTTGCATAGTAAGCATTTCTAATTTCTTTTCAATAAAGAGAATTAGTTTCATTAAAACCATTACAGAAGCCTCTCTCAAACTTTAAAAATACATATATTTATGTCTGTCATTGATAAAGCACAGAATGTTTCTTTCTTAAAAGACTGTCTTAAATTTACATAAACACATGAAAATAGTTTAAAATAAAAGCCTTTTTTCCTCTTTAATCATAGCAAACTCTGAATGACAATTTCAAAGCACTCAATAGGCCTTGTTAGCAATTAGAGTACTAGATTAAAGATTACTTCTGTATGCCACTTTCAGTATCTTGCTAGCTGAAAAATTTATATCTTAGTCAGAAAATTATCAGGACATAGATAGTCAATCACTTGGACAAGTTTAACACAATAATTGTAAATCAGCTTTCAATTCATTCTTGGATTGAAAGAGCTGTCATTTATCAAAAATAAAGATCAATTTTCACACACCTTAATTTCAGTTACCATTAGCTGTAAATCCATGTGGATGCAAATTGGATACATTCAAGCATCACATTTAATCAAATTTAAAGCAAACAATTCCTTTCTGAAATGACTGCAAACCATGATCATGTTTTTGATCAACATTTAATATACTGTCTTCTGACAAACAAAATCGATTGATACGATAACATAAATTACGTCATTTATTCGCACGTGTGGGGGATAAGTAAAAATGATACAAATGTGAAAATCTGGGTTACAGAATACATTCCCCACACAGTATCCAACATACTTTAGGAGCACTTTCCTCAGTAGCCCTGCAGAGCTATTCCAGAATTTTTGGTGCTGGTCACATGACGCCCCTTTTTTTGGTAATAATCTAAGCTTCGGACATGTACTAACCGTATATGATGTGCTAATGGATTTATAAGTGGGTGGATTACTTGATGGTGGAAATTAGGGGCTTAATAACAGGTGATCTATAGAAAAAAACTTATTTCTCATACTAAAAATAGAGTCCTTAAAAAATCTGATTTTCTAAAGATAGTAGAAGCGTATTATTATGACGACCCTAAAGTCTTCACTGCAGATAACTCTGCAAATCCAAAGGAAGGTGCAACCACAGCACAGACAGTCAAACAGACGCTTTCACCCAATTACCATAAGGAGGAAAGACAGATACACATTCTGCAAACAGCTGTGCTGGCAGAAAACATTACTGAACCATGTGCTCATCACTCTTCTTCTACTAGAAGTTACCTTGCTTAAAGATATGACAAAATATTTAGAATTAACTGAAACAGTTTCAGTAGTCAGCCCTTCTACGCTATTTTATTCTTAATGAGGCAGGTCAGAGAGCACAAACAGATCTGTTAGTAAAGCTGGCAGTACAGCCACAGGAATGCTGAATGTGGTAACATCCACTACTGGCACAGGCAAACAAACTAATAAATCCACAGCACTGAAGTTTGAGAACAGGCTAGGAAACAGTGTACCAGCCCACTAGAAATCACTGTTAAATATTCTTGTCACTAGCCTGCATTGAAACCATACCACTATACCTTTGCTATAGCCATGTAACCTGCATTACTTGAGTAACATTTGCATACTAATTATAGTTCTGCCCTCAATTTCTTGGACATACTCTGTACTATCACTTCAAAGTCCGTGGTTGTGGGGAGAAAGAAGTTTTCAGCACATTCACACTTATTTAGCTTTGAAATGCATTCAGTGTGTAGTGGCAAACAAAAAAAAAGTCTTTCCCTCTGTGGAAGGCCCTGTAAGTAAAACAGAAATACAAGGTATGTATTTCACACACATGTGTGACTTTAGCACAAGTTCCCTTGAAGCACTAGGGGATTTATACCTCTGAACCACATACACACTTTAAAAATCTCAAATTGTTTGTCTAGTTTGTATTACAAGCCACTGTCCAGCCAATTAGCTCCTATAACAGAGTGACTACCCAGCCACTTACCTGATATGGCAACCTTTGCTCTGCATGCCACCCAGTCTTTTGTCCCATTTTCTGAAGACCTGCCAAAAAAGAAGAAAAGAAAAACAAGATTTGAGATCTGTGCATTTAGACATCTAAAACACAACTCTTTAAACACCAAAAAGTGTCAGAGTCTTCATATCACAGCTCATTTCAAATGTTTTTCTTTTACAGTTAATTTTGGTATCTCTGGTCTAAGACATGAGTCATTAGTTTCCTAAGGATAATCTAGAAGGAAGGTACACCATCAATTTTCTTAATTCCCTAGAAGATTTTACTCCAAAGCTTATATAACCTGGGTATTAAAAGAAAAGTAGATTCATCTTCCGTGTCTTTTCCCTTCTGTATGCATCAGCGGAGATGCAACTTAATTAATCAGTTCTATTATTGTTTAGAGAATTGCCTCCTCCTCTATTAATAGACACTTATTATAAAATGTTGCATTTTAATTTTCCATGCAGGCAGTTTGCTGTAGACCTCAAAGTCAACCTTAAATTAAATAAAGTCAACCTTAAATTAAATAAAAAAAAAAAATCTGTGGATAATGAGTAACAAGAGTGCTCTCCTCACCTCTGCCACTGCTCCTAACACCTAACCAGATAAGGAGAAATGAAAATTCCTAGCTGCTACCAGTATCACGACTTCCAGAGGCAGTTAGAATATCTTTGCAACTCACTGATTACAGACCCACACAAGAAGTAACAGGAACAAAATCCATTTGAAAACCCTAGAGTAAGAAAACTCAGTCACGATTAAGCTATAACCAAATTCCAGTCTTGAGCAAACACCAAAAGAAAGAACTCCAGATGGACTATCAACTATCAAAGATACAATTTAAATGATAGGGAAATAACACTATAGGATGCACCTCTTCTAATGACCTCCACTGAAAACTCAAGGGATTCCTGAAGCCCGAACTTTAAGCAGTGCATGACAGTCACAAATCAAGCAAACAATACAGCTGTTCACACACATCTCCAAATATCTCAGCCCTGTTCTAGATATGTGCCATCACCACTCTGTGGTCACTGACATCAAAGACAAGGAGTTGAGTAAATAAGCATATATCCATAGTTGATATTATTCCATCACTAAAAACATAAATAGTGAACCACTATAAGCATCTTCATCTTAGTAGGCAAAAGCAATACATCCACAATAATTACAGAATACCACATGTATTACGTGCTAGTTTTCAAAATCAACTTTCAGATAGAAAGCTCTTTCCTCCAGCAAATTTCTCCTATAAAACCACATTTCTGAAAGCAAAAAGTAGCAGAACTGTTCCCACAGATACAATTAACTGGAGCCAAGCATGTATCAAAGATTTTCTGTGTTAAACTGCAATGTAATATTCCATTAAATTAATAACCTGAGAGTAATAGTGTCTCTGTACCATAATTCTCAACATTGCATCCAAAATATTCGATTAGGCAACAGAATTATAACATTAATAATATAAACCACGTATACTTTAGCTCCTTCAAGAGTTATAATGTGAAAATATTTTCAACTAATTTTTCTTCCTATTCAGTGTTGTTTTTATCAGTTCGCTGTAGTTAACACAAGTGGCCAGCAGAGGGTACCAATTAACCATGATGGTTCCCTCATTAAAGGGCCCTTAGTAGCAATAAAAGGAAAAGTAGAAATACTGTTCTGACTTGGATAGCTTTGTTTTGTTCCTTCAGACTTGGATAGGTACCTTTCTGTATGCTAAAGGTAATCAAGAAAATATGACTATTGTATTACTTGATACTGAATTACAGTTTAGTGTCAATAATCTACCCAGAAAAATATGACTAGTATTTAATTTTCTAAAGTAAAAAGAAGATTATGGAGTGATCTTACAAAGTAACGTTTTGAGGCAGCTGTAATTTATGGTTATGTGGGGGAAAAGGAAAGAAAGAGCTTAAAGGAAGGATTTAAATCCACTTTTCTTAAACAGGCTGCTAAAAATTCACGTAAATAAACGCCTGCTTCACACTGCTGCCTTTGCATTTGAGCTGTCATTAACTCACTGCTCTGCAGCTCTGCACGGGTCTGGCTCTCCTGCGTGGCTCTGTAGCTGTGTCCTGTACGCCCGTATCCGAGCATTGCAGACCATCAGGCTCTTGACTGCGCACAGGAGCTGGTCCTTCTGGGTGCTCACTGCCAGCAGTTTGCAGATACCCTCATGCATCCGGATCTCAAAGTCAATCTTCTCCTGGATGTCACGTTCCTAGAGGTGCAAAAAATAACAAGAGGTTAAACAAAACAACAACTAACAATATCCCTGAATTTTTAAAGGCTCTTTTTATTTCACAGTTGGGATAGAAAACTCTAGGTTTTAATTATGAGCAGCTATTGCAATGATTAGTGAATGTAAGAATGATAGTTCTCTCTTCGGGGACAAAAGAGTAAAACGAGATGCAACAGATTCACTATATCCATTATACATGCAAATTCCAAACCAGGTAGTAACATGAACTCACTGTTAGCATTTGAAAGTTACTCGTGTCATTCACAGAAAAATAACATATGGTCTTTGAGAGGCCTACCTGAACCAAACTTATAAATTAACACCCCACTTTTTGCAGTTATCCCTATTAAATAAACTTTAAACTGAGAAAATGTCTTAAATATTTTAAATCAGAAATTCAATCTCATTACCTCTTTGGCCATCTGAAAAAGAGTGAAGAAATATGAGGGTTTTTCACTTCTGTTTGATATAAAATTCAGGTAAGAGAAGAAGCAAAAATAAAGGAGACTATTCCAATATTTGACTGTTTCAGGTCACGAACATGTTTCAGGTCAGACAACTGTGGTAGCTTCAACCCTATACAGGGATCATGCCATGCACAGTTTTCATTCAAAGTATGAAATAAGCAATACTTGCCTGAAAGTCATTAGAATTCTGCATCACTGTTTTTTGAAGGACTAGGATATTTTTAAAGGTATTATAAAAAACTTCAGGAAAGTTAGCTTTTTCCCGCCTACTTTCAGAGAAAACAAACATTTATAAATGACTTGCTACTTCAAAGAGGTCAATCCACACCGATCCAGAACATAATTAATGTGAAGGATCACACACAGTTTACTGTCTCCCAAAGGTGTGCTAGATGCCACTGATGACTGATACAAATTTCCCTGTTATGTGACCATTCCTGGCCAAACCAAATATTACTGGCACACTAAGAACAGTGTTATCACTGTATTGCAGGGTAGCATTGCAAATAAATTGCAAGTCAGTGACTAGTGAAGCTTTGTCAACACTAAGCAAGTGTCCCAGCTACATCTGGAATTGCCAGGAACGTGTCAGTTTTCAGGTTTACAGTCTGAACCCAAAACAAGCACTTGGGCAGTGGATCTATAAGCAGTTGTCTGAAACTTGTGGTACAGTTTCTCATTTTCCTCAGGTAATAAAGGAGGTGGGTTCCTCTCACCCATGATGATAAAGACCCCAGGCTTGTGCAGCCAGGTAAAGCAGGACAAACATATGTCCTATGAATATGCCAGCATTTAAGGCAATTTAGTCACACAGTGAGAACGCAGATGATGAGTAGACACCACCGTGACAGAGGAAACTAAGGTGTAGAGAACTCTCCAGAAAATAACAACTCTCAATCAGAGACCCCATGAGAAATGCCCGGAACGCACACAGGCTCTCTGGCATCAGTGGCTTGTTTTGTGGTGAATAGCTCCCAAAGGTCTTATCAGAGGTGTTTTCCATAGAAGTTCTGCTAGTATTCCCTACAGTTGATATATGAAGGCCTGAAACCACTATGGCACCATAGGCTATCCCAGTTTTCTCCCTCAGGGATTTGCTTTTTAAAGTTTCAATCACAATCAGAGTAGTATAAAGCAGGGCACCAACACCTCTGCATCCCTAGCATCTGCTTCTCTAGCCACATTTTTTTTTCAGGGCTCTTCTCAAGAAAAAAAAAAGAGAGCAATAAATAGCTTTTGTCAATCTTCTCTTATTCTGAGTCAAATTTTACACGGTTATGAAAACCTAAGCCAGGCCTACACCTGGCCCTAAGAAATAATTACTTATTCTTTAAGCCTATGCTTATAAACCAGCTGCTACAAAGCTCAGAAGAAGAAAATAGTACTTCCTCCTAATATTTTCCAGGGCATCAGCCCCTGCTCCTCTCCACATCTATCACCTGGTACATAAATATAGTGAGGAAATAAACACTCCTAGTTTGGGGTATCTGCATGTATCCATACTGGGACTTTCAGAACCATGCAAAGCATTCAGTCCATGTTACATCTCACATAAAAAAATTCCAGACTAGCAGTAAATGGCTGTTGGGCCACAGCTTAAATAACCACACCATATAAATCTCATCTGAAGGAAGAACTTAGCAGCTTGATTTGGAATATATAAAGTTCTTTGTGCCTAGCAAAAATGATTGGTCAGCTTTTCTTTCTTTTCCCATTCCTTCTAAAAATACGAGCACACCATCTGGACTTGGAGGAACGACTCAGCACTGTTTTGCCATATGCTGTCTACTAATGCACTGTTTCCCTCGTGGTCTCCATCCTTCCCCACTAGCAGCACAACACAGACAAGATTACTAACGGCTGCTGAAATTTTCAGCCCCATACTCAGGAACTGCCTCAGCAACACTTCCAGAAAGCGTCTTTATATTTCCCACCTAACTATACCAAGTATAAGAAATTTCAAAGGATTTCTAGTTTTACATAGGTAATGCAGTCACAAAACAACCAAAGAATTCCAACAAGAGCTAAGAAAAATTATATGGATACTGCTGAAGGCAGGACAAATTGAAATTTTAGTTCATTTAATCACAGGCTTTCAGAATCTTATTCCAAGGTACACTTCTGATTTACCGCCACAGTGGCTTACATCTAAACCCTGTAAGCCTACTATATTTATTTAAAATAAGCAAGTAACCAGGCAGTGAGTATTCTTCTAAAACAGGGGCTGTGAAGTCAAGACACCAGCTTGTGCACTTTGCAGCTCAACACCGGAATGAGCGCTTGCTGCAATCGGCAGCCACAGCTTTACAGGCGCTGCCGAGTTCAACCAATTCGGGTTTGTAACTGATTCCAGGTTTAAAAAGACACAACTCATTGACCGGAAAACCAACGGCTGAAAGACCGAAGAGGTGGAAGGGACCAGCTCCGAGCACGGGCGGAGGGTGAGCGGGGAGCTCAGCCCTGCTGTGCCGGGGCAGCCCGCGGCCACCACGGACCCGCCCAGCTCGGGGGCACCGCAGCTCCCGTGCCCCGAGCACCGCCGCCACACCGACACCGACATCGACACTACCCCCGCGGGCATCGCGGTGCAGGGTTGCGTTGCGTTGCCCTGCCCGCCCGACCCCGTCGCTCACCGGCCCGTCCGGCCGCTCCATCCTCATCAATGTGCTCAGTCTCGTTCTCCCGCCGCGCCGCCGTTCAAACCTCCCGCCCCCGGCAACGGCACCGGCCGCGGTCGGACCGCCCCCCCGCCCCTCCCCTCCCCTCCCCCCCCCCGCACCGCCCCTCCCCTCCCCCCGCCCCGCCCCCCGCCCTGCCCCGCACCGCACCGCCCCCCGCACCGCCCTGCCCCGCACCGCACCGCCCCCCGCACCGCCCTGCCCCGCACCGCCCCCCGCATCGACCCGGGCATACTCTCACCAGGACACCGCTCACGGCCCCGAGCACCCGTGTGGCTTGCACGGACACCCGCAGCAATGCATTAGCGCTACGGACTGCTACTGACCGCGGCATTAACCCCGGGGTGTTTAGCTACAACAGCGAGTGCCAGTAATAAAGGCCGGGACAAAACCTCCCTTGGCTCCCTTGTTCCTCGTTAATCTGTTTTTCTGGGAAAGGGCAATGACACCTCTTTCTGGTGAACACTCTTTGGGGGAGCTGGGAGGAGAGGCTCATGGCTGCTTTGCTGATCCAAAGCACGCCATGAATTTTTAAACGTGTTCTTGGTTTTCTGCAGTTCATCTAATTATGCATCTTTAATGTGCTGGTACTTCCAATAGCTGCACTAGTAGCATGCATTGTGAAAAGTATATTATACTGTTATACAATGAATAAGTGCATTAATTATATTATTATATATTACATTAATAAGTGCAACCCAATTATTCATTGGATTGACTGGAGACGAATGGGAGCCATCTCTCTCTTCTGCTGCCAGTTTTGCAGCTCTGTCCTCAGCAGATGAAACAAATGAACCAAAATAGTGTCTCCCATCCATCCCTCATACCCGATTTCTTGGCTTTCCCCTCTGAATTCCTCCTCGGCAGGTGATGGTCAGAAGCACAGATCCTCATTGCTTTGCACATGGTTGTCAACATTTGCGGGAAGTAAAATGTGCTGGAATGAGTGAGATATACAGTGTTGCTAACAGCTTTCTACAGAAGACAGAAGTCTCCAGGCTAACACATGCTTATTTAAAATATAAGGAAAGGCAGTTAGAAGGGAAAAATTTTAAAAACCTCATCGCTTGATCAGGATTTCACATAGCTGCTCTGCAGCTCTGCTTGCCCCCTGACATTTACAACTGGGGCTTAAATGCAGGAGGCTAACCTTGAGGGAAAAACAGGAACTTCTGGACCAAAGGTATGTATTCCTTGTTGCAAGGAAGAGGACAGGGAGCTCTGCTTCCCTCCAACTTACTCAAGTGTCACCTGGAGGCAGAAGTGGCAGCAGCAGCTGTTCAGCAGTTCCTGTCTCCATCTTGGGCCACGTTTCTTAGTGTAAGGAGGCATTCAGAGCTTCATTAAATACCTTCATCCCGTCCTGAGGTCCTCTGTATACCATTGGCAAGATACATGCCACAGCTGGGAAGCACTACCCTAGGTTATTTAGTTATAGGCACTACCTTTTTTTCCCATGTTTAGATACTCCCTTCTGTTCTTTAGGTACTGTGACTTTCCCAAAATTAGTCTCTCTGCAGTACATCCAGTGGAGAAATCCCATCAGGGAGCCAAAAGGCTTTTGCTTAATCAAGGTATGATACTTAGAGCTGTATATAAACAGTCAAGATATCTAAGAGTGAGTTTGACGGAGATTGGAAGGAAAGTCTCCATCTAATCTTGGTGCTTCCTGCATCCCAGCATGAACCTTGGATTTCCATCTCTGCTGCAAAGTTCAAGACTTCAGACACATCAAGAGAAACCCATCAAACAAGGGGAGAACATGAGATGCCAAATCAGAGTGCCCTTTTGAATCACAGTAAGGCTTATCTCTTAAGATGTGGTCTGGTCTCCCCTGAATCAGTCAGGGATGGGATTTGAGGCTCAAAAATCTCCAAGTGATTTTCTACGCTACAGAAAAAACTAGAAACAAGAGCACGTCATGTAGTGGAATTGAAGAAAACAAGGGAAAGTCTCAAGTTAACTGAATTGCATCATCCTTGAAACAATGTTTGACCAAAGTAAGTGAGGGTACAGACTCAACAAATATCGATGGCTGAAACCCTTTGATGAGTTTGATGTAAAATCTGGGAGCAGCTGGAAATGATAACCTTACTGTAGAGATAAACAAATAAGGAAAGAATTACTGTAACTCTACCTTGCCAAAACTCATTCACCAACTCACAAGATGGTGCACTACCTCAGAAAACTAATGCAACCTGTGAAAAAGACACATCAGACCACTTCCCACACAGCACCATCCCAAGCAGTTCAGGTTAGACTCCTGGTTCAAGCCTGAAACCCACTGGTTCAACCTTTCCAGAAACACTCCCTGCCAAACTCGTGAGAACAGCTGTCTCAGGTGTGCATCTAAAGGGTTTTATCAAAATCCAGAGCGGCTACACGGATGCCACAAAAATCACTGCAAAAGGACAAATAATGCCCAAAATTATTCCAGGCAATCAGCATCTTTAAAGCCATTTTCACTGGTGGTGTAGACAGTTCCCAGGAATCTGTGGCAGCAGTTCAAGAATTTTAGGAGCTAATTAGCATGGTTTTGCAGTACAGTCTGTTCAGCAAATCCTAGCCTTAATAAAGCCCAAAAATGTGACTGCTAGCAGCATAAAGAGCCCAAGCCTGCAGCCCTTACACATTCCTGCTGACATTAACCTGAATTGGAACCCTTAAGAAAGCAATGGGAGCTAAATGTGTAAGACTCAGCCCTAAGCAACACAAATAGTGTCTTCCCAAGCTTAGTGCATACCTACTCTTCAGTTACTTCAAATGTCCAGTTTTCCACTACATTAGGAAAATGTTACTGCAAAGTCTGGCTTTTCACACTCTTGTACCTGCTTCTGCTTTGGTCCTCCTTCATATTCACTTTCTGGAGACATTCGGGTTTTTTGTTATAAAATTCAGTTGATCAGAGGCTTAATTAAAAAATTAAATGTTTCACCAGACTTCTAGCTCCATCTTTTAAAGGAACATGAGACTGAGGCTTTAAAAGGCATTTCTGCAGGTTTAGGACGAGGTGAGATGTTCTCTCCGCACTCCAAGTCTGACTCCAACAATGCTCTCCTGCTGCTGCAGCACACAAAGTAACTTAAAATGAAGAAGGCTTTGTACCATCTATGTTATGCAGAGATTTGGGATTCAGCTAGCAACTATTATGCTCCCTAATTGAAGAGTAATTCCAGCAGACAGCAACAATCAAAAAGGAAGCATTGTAACCATGGGGTTTTTTTCTCCAGAGAAGCCTCCACTGAAGGGCAAAGAAACCCAAGACACAACCTACAAGGGAAAACAAGGAAAATCCTGCACAGTCACTGCTGCTAGAGCAGAGAAGTCATAATGGGGGCATAGGGTGAATTAAATAGGGGATCTATATCCTGCCTTCTGGGGTTTTTAAGTGAAACATTTTTTTCAGATGAATCACACCATCTTTTCATTTGCCACTCAATTTGCATTGCAAAGCATTTGGCTTCCTTCTAGTATTAGGGAAACTGGATAGCAGAGGAAAGATCATTGTCTATCTAAATCACTGTTCTGCTCAAGTGTCAGATCAGCATATTATTTTAAATGTTAGGCCCATCATTTTGGTTTAGCAGCTACAAAATGTCTACGCCTACTCTTGACAGCACTGCAGTATTTTTCCTAATTTCTTAGTTCCCACAGCTTGCTACACCTACGCCTTGAATATCATCAGTGTGTACCAGTAGACATCTATTCAATTCCTCTTCAGATTTATCCTCTTCAGATTTAGCCTAAATGGAAATATGTGAAGATTTGTACTGGACACATGGGAAAGAATTTGCAAAGGCTTTTTATAACTGACTTGTTTAATTTTAAACTGAAAAGCAAATTGTTGCCATTGATTACCACTTACTTTGATTACCATGGTATGTGACAATTGTAGATTGCTCCAATGGGCAGAGACTGGAATTTAGGGTGTTTACCTCAATGCTTACTGGAGCCTCAGTAACTCATTTCTCCATTGCAGCCTTCTGAGGTCAGTTGAAGTCTTTCCATTCTCGTAGCTGGGCAGAAAGGCAACATGTAGACCTACAAAACAAATTAAGTATGGGTAATACCTTACTATAATGAACTTCAGTTTCAGTTTTGATTAGATAAGATGAACATTAATCACCTGGCCAATGACAGTGAGCTAAAGCCCAACCCCATCAAGATGAAAGCAATGATAAGAGAAAACTTCGTGGGTTCCATCTTACCTACCTGAGCAGTGTGAAGAAGGTATCTTCTCTAGGGTAGTTATGGAGCCAGTCGTTGAAGGCATCATCCTGTAACATGCAGGTGTCTAAATCAGCTAGGATGCATCATCCTTACCTTTCCTGGATAAATAGACACAGAGGCCAGAACATCTTAGACTAAACTCTTACTATTTCTGGTGTTCTCAGATTAATTTTACACCGAGAGCTTTCTTATCTTCTGCTCAAGGTTTTTTAATGTTCTGCAGTCCTCCATCAACTGCTCCAGTGCTCCCAATGGCACTGGGGTTGCATGTCTCTATGATGCCACCAGCAAAACTTTGATGCCAGGTGCTTCAATGAACTATTTTTCGATCATTTTATGTTCCCATAGGATTTCTAAAAGAAACTGTAGAAGGCTAAAAAAGTATGAGGAATTATTTTTCCTTTTTCCAGATAAGATTCCAGAAACTGACTCCTCAAAGTATTCCTGACATCAACCAGATCTTGAAATGCCTCCAGATCAAATTGCTGTAGACTTTTTAAGTCACCATGTATGAGATAAATGCAATCAAAACACTTTTCGTAACAGAAATTGTAAGTTACAAAAAATCCACCCCCATATGAATTTGGAAAACAGTTTCTGAGATCAAACCCGAAAACCTTAAAAATCAAATTAAACGCTGCATGACTTTGAACTGCAATTTGATCATCCTCTATGTCTTAAAGTTGCTCCTGCACAAGACAGGTGATGAAGGGTGGTTGACTGAGGTAGACCAGTCACATGTGTTCCTGTGTTTCTGCTTGGGAGAACTGGGGCACTGGTTTTGAAGCCAATTCACATGTGATTCCCACATAGGTACAGAATTAACCCCATCAGAAGTATCCTGTTGGACAAGGATCCTCACTGGTGACTGACAGCTTTACTAGAAACCTTTCTCCAACTGAGAAGACAATGTGCACACACAGTGTCTAACAAAGCATGAATTTTTGCAGCCTTTCCCCAAGCTTAGAAATTTATATGGTCTCTCTTTTCAATTCTGCTTCCTATCTCAACAGCTGTTGAATGAATGAATGAAATTATCTTTAGTTCCTTTCAAAATCAAAGTTGGTTGAAATTGGCTGCTTGGATCCACTGCTAATAGGGGGACACTTATACACACACTGAGAAATTATGGTCATGTAAAGATGATACTGCTATGGGAACGCAGAGAGGTCCTTTCAGCTGTTCCATATTAAGGAGATGTTCAGTACAAGAAGGATTTCCTAGAGATTCTACAGTGTCACTCCCATGGCATGCTTTTGACTAGGATTCCTCTGTTGGGTGAAGAGTCCTGCTTTGGTTTCTTGTGCATTACTACAGGTGGTGTTTGTTGTATAAAGTCTCTATCTGAGACAGCTGCATCCAACTGTTTGCTGGGCAGCGAGCTGCTGGAGTCACCAGTTTGTGTCATGGGAGAATCTAACTGGGCATTCTTTATTTTCCAGTTTCAGGATCAGGTCTGTTATGATTTTCCCCAATTGATATTGCACAGGCAAGTTAAAAGTCACTGGGTCATTTAAATGGATTTCCATTTCGAATTTGAAAGGGGGAATAAGTGCACTGAGAATATCATAGATCTAAAGATAGACTCCCATATGAGAAAATAGTGACAGAAAATCACCTTCCTTTTGATAGGCAGAGGACTACTGTGTATTGCTTGGAGAGCAGATGCAGGCCCACTTCTTGCAGCAATCTCCGAGGAAAAAGGAGCAATTCTCCAAGTTGGCTCTGCGATTGACTTCTTTCTTTTTTTTCTTTTTTTTTTTTTTTTTTTTTTGTCTGGAGGTAGATACGATTTAGAATATCTCTGCAGAAAACAATACTTGGCAAACGGACTCTACCTGAAGTGAGTTTGTAGTCTGGTCTGATTTTTTCCAAGTACTGGAATGTAGGTGTCTAGGGAGAGAAACATGGCACTGCAACGTACTCTGAAGGCCAAGCAACATAAGCTGCCCTCTGTGCAGCCACAGTCACTCAAGCTCCCCCTGCACTGCAGCATTGCTGAGGAAGGAAATTGTAATTGTCCCTTACCAAAGCACATCTTGGGGTGACAGCTGTTGTCCCAGGTCACTGAGGCACAATAACCCAGTGGACTAATGAATCCATTTCTTTGCATTTCACACACTTTTTGGATTGTTTTGTTCCTGTCTCAGGGAGGATATTCGAAGGGGCACGAGTAGAGATCTATACTTCACTGCAAACTCTTACTTTGCCCCAAGAAATGTTCCTTGTCAGTAAGAGATTGGCTTGTCTCAATAGTTTTCCCCATTACACTTGAGGCTATAACCATCTGCAGCTCTGCAGTTTTTCCTGCCTTGCCACAGAGCTGCAGTTTTTCTGCATTTTTTTAAGCCCTGAGTTGGGTTCCAGCTGCATAAACAGACATTTGTCATAAGGATCAGGCCAAGGAAGAGCAAGCCAAAGCAAGAAGGCAAATGTTCTTTCATGAAAATATAACAGTAAAAACCAAATAACATCTAAATACTATCAATATACTTATTGATATGTGCAAAATGTCCAACCATTTTTGGTTGGAACTTTCTATCCGAGGTTTTAAAACCTCTGACCCCTAAGGAAAATCTGGCTTGCAAATTATGTCCTGTTTCTTACAGAAATAGATACTGAAAAAATAGTGAGCAGTTCATCCACTCAAGTGCTTGAAGAAATACATCCACAGGGATAAGAGGATTTAAATTTTTTAGATCTGACAGTTAGTTTTCCATTCCGAGCATCCCTAGTCCCTGTGTCTCCACCAAACGTCTCCCTAAATCCAATCTCTGCCCCTGTGTGGAGTGCAATACCTCTGTGAAATAACTTGCTTCCACAAAACCTCAAAAGAACCATATTGTAACAAAAATTATTTACCACGGCACAGCAGATTCCAGGACCCCATTAGAGTGGTAAGGCTGTTCCTAGGAATAACCCCAGTGTCACAGACAACAGCTTTTATACAGATGATGATTTTTTGCTGAATCATTGCAGAGTTGGATTGAAGTTGTCCATTCACATGTACGAGGAACTAAAATATTGTTTTATAAGGTGGAAAGATCTAAGGAGAGAAACTTGCTGCAAAAGACACTGTGGGATGAAGTCACAGACCCACAACTGAAGTTTGAGGGGTTTGGAATGTTACAAAGCGTTGGGCTGTTTTCCATGGGAGCAGTGGAGCTAATTAGATAGTTCCCATGGACACAGCCTTGAGCTGTGTGGCTGAAGTGCAGGTGCTGCATTCCTCAGTGTTTTCTGTGGGAATGTGTTTGTGTTGTGTGTGGGGGAAAGTAGAAGTGGGAGAACTGAATAAAGGGCTGCCTGCTGCGCTGAGCTGGCAGACATCTCTCTGGCTCTTCATCCTAGTGTGTCTCTTCATCCTAGTGTGTGTGTGTCGCGTGTCTTTCTTCCCCCACAGGACCAAGGCCTTTCAACAGATACCCAGTGACAAGACACTACGTCCTGTGAACGCCCCCCAGCCGAGGTGACTGGCCACACACCTTCTCTTCAAGCTCACCATGGCTTCACAGAGGAAAACCAATCCAGCTACTTCTTCCCTTACTCCAGTTCCCCTTGAAGTCAAACCATGGGAGAGGATGGAATTGGGTTGTACCTGTGCTCTCCTCAATGTGAGACAGAAACATTTCTTGCAAATGATAGTATTTTTTTACCTAATAATATGATCCATTTTTACTCACCATTATGAAAAATAAGGGGTTGAGTAGCAAATATAAGTAACTGTATTTTACCTGAGGTTGGTTTGTCAGAGATTTCTGTCATCCTTCTAACCATCTTACAGCTTTTAATGAACTGAGACAACACTTCATGTCACCAGTAGCATTTTAGATAATGAATTATGGTAACAAAAAATAGCACCTCATGTTTTACAGACAGTTTCATCTAGAAGAATAAAAATAACTAGTTCTGCCTGGATGCATGCATGACTTACACACATGCACATATTTACTTTCTTATTCTAAAAATCAAATTCAGTTCTAGGAAGTTATTTCTAGCACTTGACTCTAACGATGTATTTGTACGATGTCATTAAAAAACAAACAGACTGTTTAAAGAAAGACCAACAAAGAGCAAGTAAATTTTTAATAACCAGTTCTTTCAACAGCTAATGCAGACCCAGAGGGGAAGTTATCCAAGTGTGATCTGGGACAGAGAGGATCAACTCTTTAAGATAATTCACAAATACTTCTGGGCAAACTCTGTGCACTAAGGCAGTTTTACCAAACAACTTACCATCTCCGCTTTCTTTTATTCTTTCCCTACTGGGAAATGTCTTTCATATCCCTGTCCATCAACAATCTCTGCAACACTGAGTGATCCTACTTACAGAGATAAGGCATTAGGTAGTGCCTTGCTTTTTTACTAAAGCTTTATCTCCTGAATCTATCATTTATCTCATAGTGTGGACACTCACTACAGGGAACAGCAGCCTTTGCCCCAGGACAGAAAGCCTGTAAGCTTTGGCTTTCAGGTGCAGTTGGTAGTGCAGCCTGGGCACTCCGTGGGCAGCAAGAGCTTTCTGTGATGGCACCTTTTCCATGGGAGGAATCCTCATTTGGATCGGTTTTGAGGGCGGGGGGGCCAGCAATGAGAGCGCATGGCTGACCAAAGGGGACAGCAGCCCTTTTCCCAAGGACAGAAAGCCTGTGAGCTTTGGCTTTCTGGTGCAGTTGGTGGCACAGCCTTGGCACTCCGTGGGCAGCAAGAGCTTTCTGTGCTGGCACCTTTTCCCTGGGAGGAATCTTCATTTGTATCGGTTTTGGGGAGGGGGTCAGCAGCAATTGCAGCGCAGGGCTGAAAAAGGGTACAGCAGCCCTTCACCCCAGGACAGAAAGACTGTGAACTCTGGTCTTTAGGTGCAGTTGGTGGCGCAGCCTGGGCACTCCGTGGGCATCCAGAGCTTTCTGTGGTGGCACATTTTCCCTGGGAGGAATCCTCATTTGTATTGGTTTTGGGGACGGGGGGTGGCCAACAATAAAACACAGGGCTGACCAAAGGAGACAGCGACCCTGTGCCCCAGGACAGAAAACCTGTAAACTTTGGCTTTCAGGTGCAGTTGGTGGCACAGCCTTGGCACTCCGTGGGCAGCCAGAGCTTTCTGTGCTGACACATTTTCCCTGGGAGGAATCCTCATTTGGATCGGTTCTGGCAAAGGGGGGGCCAGCGATTGCAGCGCAGGGCTGAACCAAGAGTACAGCAGCCCTTCACCCCAGGACAGAAAGACTGTGAACTCTGGTCTTAAGGTGCAGTTGGTGGCGCAGCCCTGGCACTCCGTTGGCAACCAGAGCTTTCTGTGCTGGCACCTTTTCCATTGTAGGAATCGTCATTTGTATCGGTTTTGGGGAGGGGGGGACCGGCAATTGCAGTGCAGGGCTGAACCAAGGGTACAGCAGCTCTTTGCCCCAGGACAGAAAGACTGTGAACTCTGGTCTTTAGGTGCAGTTAGTGGCGCAGCCTGGGCACTCCGTGGGCAGCCAGAGCTTTCTCTGCTGGCACCTTTTCTGTGGGAGGAATCGTCGTTTGTATAGGTTTTGGGGAAGGGGGGTCGGTAGTTGAAGCGCAGGGCTGAAAAAGGGGAACAGCAACCCTTTTTCCCAGGACAGAAAGCCTGTGAGCTTTGGCTTTCAGGAGCAGTTGGTGGCGCAGCCTGGGCACTCCGTGGGCAGCCAGAGCTTTCTGTGCTGGCACATTTTTCCCGGGAGGAATCTTCATTTCTATCGGTTCTGGCGAGAGGGGGCTGCAACGAACTGCAAGACAAAGTCAAAACTTCCAGGCTTTCTTTGCTGGGGATAATGGCGATTTTTCCTGTTCTCAGCCCTGCACTCAAACTGCCATCCTCCCTGACAAAATTCCACACCAACCAAGATTCCTCCCAGACAGAATAGGGCAGTTTACAAAGCTCTTGCTGCCCATGGACTGCCCAGGCAGGCCCACTAACAGCCCAAGAAAGCCAAAGGTTCCAGCCCAGCAAGAGCTTTGTAGACTAGCCTATTCTTTCTGGGAGCAATCTTTGTCTTGCAGTTGGTGGGCCACCCGGGGCACTCCATAGACAGTAAGAGCTTTCTGTCGTGGCACCTTTATTTTGGGAGGAATCTTCGTGTGTATACAATTTTGGGTATCAGACTGGCAGTTTCAGGGCAGAACTGAAAACAGGAAACAACAGCTCTTCTGCCCAGGAAGGGAAACCTGGAAGCTTTGGCTTTCTGGTGCAATTAGTGGGTCAGCCTGGCCACTCCATGGGCAGCAAGAGCTTTGTAGACTGGTCTATTCTGTCTGGGAGGAATTTTGTGTGGAATTTTGTCAGGGAGGAATGGCAGTTGAAGTCCAGGGCTGAGAACAGGAAATAATCGCCATTATCCCCAGCCTGGAAGTTTTGAGTTTGTATTGCAGTTGGTGGGCCACCCGGGGCACTCCATGGACAACAAGAGCTTTCTGTCGTGGCACCTTTGATTTGGGAGGAATCTTCATCTGTATTCAATTTTGGGTGTCAGGCTGGCAGTTTCAGCTCAGGGCTGAAAATAGGAAACAACAACCCTTCTGGCCAGGAAAACCAAACCTGGAAGCTTTGGCTTTCTGGTGCAATTGGTGAGTCAGCCTGGGCACTCCATGGGCAACAAGAGCTTTCTGTCATGATACCTTTGATTTGGGAGGAATCTTTGTCCATATGCACTTTTGGGAGTCAGGCTGGCAGTTTCAGGGCAGGGATGAAAACAGGAAACAAGAACCGTTTTCCCCAGGAAAGAAAACCTGGAAGCTTTGGTTTTCTGGTGCAATTGGTGGGTCAGCCTGGG